TAGCTATTTATTATTAACATTATTCTTCCGACGTCTGATTTCTTTTTAATTATAGGAAATGCGTTTTTCTAAGGTACATAAACTTTTGGGATTGACTGTATAGCCAATACATCCTTAATGATTGTAGCAGCGTTACAGGAAAACAATCGTATAGTTTTCAATCGGCGAGAATTCTCAAATGTCCAGCCACGTCGCGACGTTTTCCTTTGCGGACCATTGCTTTTTACAACGTTTTTTTCTTATTTTCTTTATTGTCTGATTATTATTGTTTCGATGTGGATAATTGTTCATGAAACCCATTCGTCTTGCTCAAGGATTAAAAACACAAAGCATAGGCAAAGGTGTGACGCAGTGAAAAATCGCGTTGCAGTATGTTCGATTCCTTTGCCACTTTCTTTCTCTATTCGTTTGTACATATTTATAGGAGATCGTCGTCATCGTTATCGTACAATGATAACGAGGCGAAGGAACATTGTTTAAAATATGTCGGCTATCCTAAAAATATAGATTCTCTTCCCCCGGTTTCTAAATCTATTCATCAATTAAGATGGTACACATTGATATTAAGTTATAACGCAATATGGTGCAAAATGAATAGTCACAGAGGAGAATAGGCACACTGCTCAATATCATTCGCTTTGCGAATTAAATATTGCATCCTAAATTCATGTTTAAGCAAATATGAAAATATTCGCAGACGAACATTTTTTGCATTTTTATTAAGCTTTCAATTTGATTTGATACAATTTGTTTTTTGAGCAATGTACGAGACAACGGGAGAATGAATTATTACGTATTTAACAAAGTGATACATGTATTTTCCATCGTACAATTATTTTTGGACACGTGCGTGCAGTCTTTGCAAACTGAAAACCTTTCAAGTATTTCGTACTGCGAAACGTTATTAACACAACGCTTCGTTATTAACAAACGAGACGAGCTCGCACGTGACCTTATGATATATGAAATATGTTGAGCAAACTTTGTTTCGTGCCTTTTACGGGTACGCTTTAACGTTATGCTAAAGTCTGCTGTGAGAAGGAGCAATGAGAGACAAAAGATCTGTCTTTGGAAGCTTCTCTTTGTTTTAAAATTCACAACGAAGCGTCTTATGAAAATATACATTTATAGTACGCGTTTGCCTGGATATGATTATTAGCCAAGAGTCATAGCAGTGTAAATTGACACGTTGAATGACTGGAACGATGTTTCTGATTCTTCCTCGTGTACTTGAAAACAGTAAGTCGATGTACACAGCTATGAACTCAGCAAATCGCGACCGTGTTCGTTGCTTGATTGTGCCTGTCATCGATCCTTGATAAGACTCGATTTACATGATAGCACCTTTTCTCATGGATGTCATTTCAATTCGTTGGGCATGTTGAAAAACCTTGTTTAATTTCATTTAAGTGTGTGATCACCTCAATACACACAACAATAATACTAATGATTGTTTTAACTACACCAGAATGTAAATGGACGTTACATTCTCGATTATCAGACTGTGGATTCGTGCAACAACATTAAAAAATGAAATCCAAATTTGGCTCACTCTTTGGTTCAACATTACTACGCGTTCTGTGTTCCTCGTTTTGCAAATCCACAGTCCTAAGATGGAACGTTGAACTAGCAACTTCGTTAAATTAGTATGTATCTGTTAAGTAAAATTGAACTAGGACAGCGGTTCGATGCAAACTTGAAATCAAATCCGTTTCGGAAATAGAAAACGAAATGATTTTCACCTCGAACTCGGGAATAAACTAAAGGAAATATTATTTAACAATGGCATTCCGTAATTCTCGTACAGGATTAACAATTCATTGCTACTCGCGCTCTATTTACTGATCCTAGAGTAAAACAAGCGTTGTCGTGTGATGTACAGTCTTAGATTCGCCTTCTCGCATCGCTTTCCTTAAAATTTTTCTAACTATGCACAATTTTTCTATACAATTAGGCATGTTCGTTTCGTTCTTTTCCCCTTCTTATATTAACTTGTATCCTCGCTTACTACACAGTAAGATATTATTTTTTAACACGGATTGGCTCTCGTCCTTCGAGGAACGTAATAATTGTCCGCGTGATATGGTTTGCTTCGCTTATTTAACATTTTTTTTATCGTTTTCTTTTTACATCTCGGTTATTAAGTGGTCCGTAAATTTCGTGTTCAACGCAGCAGGTAGTAACGTGGTGTAAGGCCCTAAATATGTACATTCAAAAAATTGATAAAAAACGTTTCGGCAGTAACGACGCGTAGACGCGTGCGAATCGTTCGACAAGAATTCTAATTAATTTAAATTGCACTCTTTTTCATGTAATTTATGTTGAAAATGAACAGAAGTCGGTTTCCCTATTCCAGTCAACCCTTTCCTTTTAAAATTATTTTAATGCTATCAGATGATAGAAATGTTCTCTATCTGCGTATGCAATATTTAACTGATCAACCAAGAGAAAATAATTGGAACCACGTAATAGTTATAAAAATATAAAATAGCCAAGCTTCGTTTCTTTAGCATCTAGTTCTCGATGCAGATTCGCACGTGTCTAAAAGATAAAAAAGCTGCGTATTAAGTCACATTTTACACGTAATCATCGGAGTTCCTTTACACTAATTATGAGTACCCAACGTTTGATTAAGCACACGTGTTGCAGTTTAATCCTTTGCACTCGAAAAATGACTTCGTTTATCATTTTTGTTACCATTAAAAATTTCATTTTAAAGAATGTTTGCGATCTAATGAAACTGGACATCGATTTAATATTTTCTAAATTTTGCTAACATTTCAAGTGAGAAGGACTAACTCGCCTCTCGTTAAATCTCGTTCTGGTCTCGATACGATATTGAAAGATGTTGCCTCTGTAATCGTTTATAAAATGCAGCACCAACATACATTTGTATATCGTGAGAATTTCGCTAATCTAGTTTCACCTAATTTCTTCGTTAGAACGTTTGAACACAAATCGGTATCGAATCTTCTCTCTGTTTTCATTTTACTGCTAATGATATCGGAGATGCTAATGATATTCTCAATGTAAGATGTTCTAAAAAAAAGAAGAAAAAAGAGAGGATTGATTGCGAAAACTAGGTGAAACTGCATTATCGATTTTTGTTATTTCATCGTTGTTAGAAAAAACGTTCGATACAGTCGACGCGGACTTCAATGATGTTCTGTACGCTGTGATTCGACGAGTAAGATATAATTACGGACGTGTTTTTTAAAGATTAAGTTATATGAACGGAGACTGAGCATAGAATCAGTTATAATCGGATTAGATCAGATTCATTTGAATGCTCGTAGTAACCACCTTTTGCGATGAACGAACCGACTTTTTAATTGCGACGTTAAAATATAATCCTTGCCATAAATTATGCGCATTCCTGATGCACTACATTCATAAATAGGAATAATATTGCAAAGACATAATAAAATGCATGATCCACGCACTGTAGAAACAATGTTATTTCCAAAAAATAATTGTGATAAAAATCGTTAAACGAATTAGTTTTAACGAAAGTGTTTCATGTTAAAATAAGATGATCACATGTAGATGAAAATTCTAAAAAATATCATGAAATCACATCACATAAAAGTAACAGTTTGAAGAAGTAAAGGTGTAAATTAAATTACACTGAACATGCATAAATTGCATTAAAATTACTTTTTCAAACACATAAATGTGATTCTTGAAAATTGGCTACGCAAATAAGTTACTTTAAAAACATGTATATCGCATAGTTAAGAAGCAAACGGAAGATTAGATTAAAAATTACACACCGTAGTATGGAAGCATTGAATTAATTAATATATCAGCGAACTTAGTTCGGCAATCTTAAGTATTCATATGTACACTCGCCTATATGTATATACAATTACAATAAGTACATTAAGAATAAAATCAATTAGACTATTCGCGAAAAAATTCATTAAAATCGCGATTAAAACTTTTCGGCTTTAAACCTAATTTACAGTATAAATAAGTGATCAGAAAAATGCACTTCATTCATAAGTACGTGCTACCATTTTTCAGTTTTGTTCAATTCTCTAAATTGTTATTAATATCAATCATGCGATTGCAAAAATACCGGAAGAAACGATGAGAATCAAGCTGACACAAGAAGCAAAAACACGATTTTAAAAATCAAACTTTGTAAAAAAGAATCTGACTTGTTCTCATCGTTTCACCGAAAATTAAAATACGTACTTTATCGTAATGGTGGACTTCTACAGACTCATCGAGCACAAATTATGAGTTAGATCATGATCGAGTTACCTCGAGAGATTATCACGCTCATTAGCACATGATCTCGGACGCTGGAGCTGGTACAGTCGACAAATTCTTATCGTTAGGATCCGCATTCTCTGAGTCCCTGATCGGCGGCCTTGAAAGCGTCTGCTCGATCTCCCTGGTGACGCTAATCGTAGGCGGTGGCCTTCGGGACGATTGTTGTTGTTGCTCCTCGTCGATAGCGGAAGCCCTCCTGAGTTTATGCCTGTGCTCGTTAGATATGAAAAAGTTACTGGCTTCGTCCGACACGTGCAGCGAGTCGTCCTCGTCCCCGAGCTCTCGCCTGTGTATCAGATCTTCCATCTGCTGGTAGTCGCATTCTTCGGCATTACGCAGATGTTCGTTCTCGATTTGTAGAGCCATTTCAGAGTTTGACATTTCGGATAAGTATCTGACCCTCGTGCGCGGTTGAATGGGCGGTGTCGGGCTTAGCAAGCTCTCTAACTCATCTGTTATGCTCGTGTATTCTGCACGCATGGCTAGTAGAATTGATGTCTGAGCGCTGCTCGTTGAGGAAACCGAAGGAATCACCGCGACGCGAGGATCGGCCCAAGTTACTCCTCTCGGGTTCCCAGTAGCCGGAACTATCACATCGTCTGATTCCGAACGGGTCCTACTGTTTTGTCTAGTCGGTCGTTCGATGGAATCTTGTCTAATAGGCTCGGAAGCTGGCGCCTCGCTGCTCGCTTCTCTGCTCGGTTCCTTGCTAGTGGCATCTCTACTAGTCTCCCTGCTCAATTCTCTACTCGTTTGTCTGCTTGGATCCGTGCTCGGTTCTTTGCTGCTCGGTTCCTTACTGCTCGGCTCCTTGCTACTCGGCTCCTTACTACTCGGTTCTGCACTTGCCTCTCGGCTCGTTTCTCTACTATCGGTTTGCGACTCTTTCTTTACGGTGTCTCCTTCACCTTCCGCCTTGCTCACTTCGGTTCCCTGGCTCGTAGTAGTCTTCGCGTCGTCTTGAATAGTCGGACCGTCTCCGCTTATCGAGGATTCGTTCCTGCTCAGGTTCTCCCGCGACGCGATGGTCTCCGAGTGCTTTAAGATATCGTCATCTAACGGAACCATGCCGAGGAACGTGCCGTCTGTCAGGGAACGGATTAGTCTCTTGCGTTTTACTGCGATGGTCGGCAGCTGCGTATGAGAGTCCGTCTCCGAAAGAACTTCCGATCTTTCAGACACTCTTCGTTGTCGGCTCTCTATATCTAAAGTCGAAAGACCTTCCATATTGGGCATATGAGTTGCCATGAATCGGTGAATGACTCCTAAGTGTGCCAGCGTTTGCTCGTTCAGCTCTTCTAATTTTCGAATGCGAAACTCAACCGACTGTGAAACAAGAGAATGTATAAAAGATATGTAATGAAATTCTTCTTGCCAATTCTTATTAATATTATTACCTGAAGAGAAGCGTTCTGAGTACTCTCCTTCTTGTCGATATCCTCGATCTTCGAGTTCATGTTTTCGACCCTTTCCGTGGTCTGCTTGATACGCTCCTCCGTTGACATCTGCAGCTTGAGCTCTTGTTCACGGAAGTATCCCTCGACGCAGTCCTCCTCGAAATCGTACAACCGTTCCATGTCGTCTGCTTCCAAGAACAACTTCAGCCCGTTGTCATACGTTTCGCCGGTACTTGCTTTCCCTTGTGTCACATATCGCAGCAAATATCTCACCACCAGATACAAGTGACAAACTACAATCAGCGGGGGTGGTAAAACTGGCTTCTGTTCGTACTCCATAACAACAGTAAAACGCTGGAACATCCATACTTGGTGCGCCACCGCGTTTACCTCGTTGAATATGTTATTAAACACCGCGATCAGTAAGTTTATCAATAATATGTTCGCGACTAAAAGATAAATGGACATTACTGCAGGCGTGATCCACCGTCCAGGAAGACACGGAATCATTCCCGGCTCGTTGCCGCAGTCGGGATCTATATTGTCCGCGTATACCTCTCCGTACAACATGAAGTATGGTTCCATAAATATCTGCAAAACGATTATTACTTAAATACGTCTATCCAGTGATTATGCGTAAAGAAAATACGTACATCTCGAAGAATTCTCCACTTGGGCTCGGCGTTAGGGTTCAAAATTGCTTGACGACTGACACCGAAACTCATTAACACCACTATTAAGAGTACCACGAAATACGTCATGTTCTTCACCATTTTACCCATCATTGTAACCAGAGGACCTAAACAAGAAAATAATCATCATTCGATATTCCATACAATCTCCCTGAACTTTTATCAAACGCGACATACCAAAGTATTTATTCACTCCGAGAATGTTCAGTATCCTCAAGTACCAATAGATACAGTCGACGCAGTAAATGACGCGACCAATGTCGAGGGTGGAATGCCTCAGACGCAGGGCGAGACCGATTTGAAAAAATATTATAGCAGCCGCGTCGCAGGGATTCCACATATTCCACGCCCACACGCTGAACTTGTGCGAGAGGGTAGCTGGCTCGGATGTCGCTATCTCTCGCACCTTCTCGCACCCGAGCGTGCAGATATAAGCAATCGCGTAAATCTCTGCCAACGATGGGTGATCATCCATGTGTATAAGGATACTGTACGAGAAGAGTACCAAGAAGATGATGTATGCTATCTGTAAAATTGATCACGATTATTATCAATTCGCGTCGCTCGCTTGTCGATTTGCTTGAAACTTACAGCGTTCGCCCAGAATTTGGTGATGGGTGCAGTGTAAAACTCGTATAATTTTTTCCTAAGCTTCAAAGGCCTGCTGTTCTTAATGTCATAGTAGTCGGACTGAATGCCGAATGATGCACGATGGATCCCGTCGTCGACGTCAGTCAACACTTTTCCGTTTTCTTGTACGATCGTCTCCTTCGCTACAGTCGTAGTGTGCTCGTTGCTGATCAGAGCCTAGAGGGAGAGAACCAGGAGAAATTACAGAAAAGTGTATACGGAATCTAGAGTTAATAATGGGTACAGGACAATCAACACCGAGATAAGAGGAATTTTTTATTTATAATAAATCCTCTTTACTAATTATTCGTCATTCCCAGAAACCATTTACAGTTGCTAACAAATTAATGAAAGAAATCGGTCGGGTAAAGATGGTACAGCGTGTAAAAAGCAAACACTAAAACGTAAAGTTATTTTTATTAGCGCTCTAGTGTATTAATGGCAGGGAGAGTGGTGTATTGTATTAATTTCTGTACAAATCGTAGAGATGGGTGTCGAAAAGAAATTTCGAATATCCCATCCCTAATTATTTACTTAAATAAGTAGTTTACTCGTAATATGATTATGATGGAATGAAGGACTCGTAATCTATTGCATGGGGGTGGTAATAATATTAATATAAGTTTTGCGGAAGGGGGTTCCATCCAGCATAGAAACGTTTCCAAATAAGCTAGAAAGAGGAAAATAAGTAACTATCGCTACGATTCTATGAACATCAGACAAAAATAAGGAACACTAAACGACGAGTGGGGTGCGTAGTATCATGGTTGCATAGAATGTAAACTGTTAGTGCAATTGCGCAATGTAATACAGGGAGAAAGTAAAAGTACGTATCATCGACTACTTAATCCTTTTCGTCTCTTCGTGTTACAGTCGAAAACAGTTAATTCTTTAATGTGACGGGTTGAAGTACAAGGTTTTACATGTATGCTTCAAAACATTGAGTAACAGATCATTAAAAACAAACGATTGGGCAGGAGATTTTATTCAACCGCCGGGTAAAAAACATCGGTATATCGTGACAAGGTAGCAAATCTAATTGGGCAAAGTAATGTTTAGTGAATTAAGTCTTTTAGGAAAGATACCGATATTTTGGCGACATGGTATCTAACATAAATATGAACGATTGTTTTTCCGCAATTATTAATTTGTAAGGAACGATATACAAGTACGATTCGTTTTACAATAGAAGCTTTAATTATCATCCTCACCGGTACGGATTCCGATATTGAATAAATAGAGGTTTTCCTCGACGATAACTAACAACATAAGAGAGATAGTTGAAAAGTGCACCGGAAAGTAGTGAACTTATTGGTCATAATAATCATTGCATTGTCAGGCCATTATGGATTATACCTTAGCGCCTTGTTGGCTGCTGGATATTTTGCGTACGCTCAGGCTCCTGCGCTGACGTTTCTAAAAAACAATTCATATGCATACCCACATAGTCTATGAGTCACAAAAACAATTTCAATACCTCTACTAACGAACGATAACACTAGTTTATATCATGTTAACATTCACAAGTTACTAGACCTATACGATACCAAAAAAATATTTTTATATGAACATAAGTTACGTTTTATATTTGGGAACCTACATGCGCATACGTTTTCTTGTAATCGTTCAAGTTGTTCAAAACCAGCAACCATATGTATATGTATATACCGAAAATTGTGTCTCTAAAATATCTAATTAACTAATTATTCACATTGATAATTCGTAATTTTTATATACATACAAGAAATTCTTTCGATAAATTCGTACAATGAATGGACGAGATTCGAGAACGTTGTTGAAAATAATAAAGCAGTGATCGGCACTATGTTCAGAAATAAATCAATAATTGCAGCGCGTGAAATGTGTAAGGATGAAATTTTCATAAATGCAATGACAGGCTAGTACTACGTTAATATTACCACTTCTACGTCTTTACAGTAGTAATTAATATCACTTCCGAGTAAAGTTAGATTCATACTGTGAGCATAACAATTAGTTAACACTCCTCTAGGTCTTTAGTTTCTCTTAATCACATAAGTTAACAGATCATCATGTTAATTATTATTTTATACCTCTTTTGTCATAACGTTAGTGCAAAGTGATGCATTACCTCGACGTCTGGACCCGTCGGGGCACTGTGCTCCGAGTCGCTATCCTCTTTCTCATCCTCGAGAGCTATCTTATGTTCTTCCTGCGTTTGAGGCATCAATTGCAATTCTTCGCGGCTTTTAAACTCCAAACGCGTTATATAAAATGGACAAACCAGTCCCAGCACGACCTGTGAATAAAATTTAAAAAATTGCACAATGAAATATTTTTTTAAATCAAAGAACGCGATGATAGTTACCTTTAAATTTGTATTTTTGCGAGTACGGAGCCCACCCATCCAGAGATCGGCTAAAATAATTTGGCTACAGGGATGTGCTAAAAGAGGTCTGTGATTAGCAGTAACTGCCAGAGAGAGGCACGTCTGACCAGACCAATTCTGCAGTTCAGACGTCAACAGTTGTTGCGTTTGATCGTCGTCTTGACGGTAACAATAGTCTAACAGTTCCACAGCTGTGAACAAGAAAATCCTATTGTTAAAGTACATCACAGAAACAAGTGAGACGTTCGAGTCTAAATCAGTACCGATATTTTCAAATTCCTTTCCGTAGCTTCTCAATTCGTCGTAAACCTCGGTTTCGAGATCATCCTCAGCGGCTTCGTGCGCCATAGCTTTATACAATTTGAGGGCAACCAACGCCTTCGCTAAGGCCTCCTCTCCATGCTGCCACATTAACAAAGCCATTTGCTGTCGTTTAGTTAAAACAGCCCATATAAGCAGTTCGTTGAATGGATAATCGAACAATGGCATGTCTCGATTAGCCGGTAACGTCTCGGCAAGCAAGCTCATCGTTAAACTGTCCTGTTTACTGCCAGAGCCGCCCGAGTAATAACGAGCATTGGTACCCAGGATGCAGCTGTTCCTATGCATATGCTGAGGGTGTGCCCCGGATCTCTTCATCACTTTCGTATAGATCATGCGGAATCTTCTGCGTGTGTACTGTGAGCGATACGCACCGCCCATTAACTTATTGATCACCAAACCGATATCGTGTAGAGTGTACATGTAACCCCGCGGAATGTTCGGTCGAACGTCGCGGAGGATGTAGCCCAATGTGTTCGAAGGGCCTTCTTTCTAAATAGCCAAGGAAATATGTCTCTCGATTAGTTGAAATATTGAAAGTATTAAATCCAATTAGTCACGATGAACAGAAAACTTACGGTACTGTATAATTCTTCAAGTCGCGGTATGGATAAAAATTTTCGCATGGAGACACCATTCTCCAAGAGTAGCTTTACGAAATCGATCCTGTCGTGTTGCAAAGCTTGCATCATTGACTGTTCCAAAGCACCAGGCGGCCACTTTTGACCGTAAATGAATATTTCACTGCGTGCTATATCCACTCGATTCCAAATTAATGATAACGATAGTTGTTCAGCTGGGGATAACTGTTTGGACTTGAACAGAGCTGTGAGAATCGTTTGATCGAGCTCCTGTGGCCTGTCTTGAGTTATCCTAAATACTGTTATCTACGGGCATTTAATTTCAATGTTTATACCCGAATTGTTTATTCCGTTTTTCTGCAGAAGAATCGGTGTGTAATTACCAAGTGTTTCTTTCGTGTACACTCCAAGAGTTCGCTGTACAATTGTTCGGCTTGTACTGGGGATACTTTGAAAGTACGCATGATTGTTTCTAAGAGATGTTCTTTCATATTCTCTAATGGTCCCTCGTTCTCTTTAGTCTCCCCGTCCATTTCAGACGCGTATCTAAGTTCAAGTTGATCACAATGAGTCTCGTCTCGCGAGAATGAAATGTTTCATTTATCAAGGTCTTGTTATTACTTGTGCATGAAAGCGATGAGATCGGCTGCGCGACCCGATCCATCACAGACAACTACAGGAACGGGAGGATCGTCTGTAACATACTCCAAAACCGATCGAATCGTATTCGTTCCTCCTTCGATTACCAATGCCACGACTGGTATACTGCTGTGTGTATCTGTAATGATAAGTTTATTAACAAGAACGATATTAATTATATAAATGATACCTACAAGGCTGCAGTTTCAGATTAGAAATGTATTTCTCTAATTCCCTACGCAGCTTGATTTCTGCGCCGTATCGACCACCCGTGCCGTTGTCCACCAGTAAAAAATACGCATGACGATTATTTAAAACTGCGTATTTAGACCTGAGCAATCCATAAAATATTGTTAAAACGATTCATGTAAATTTCTATTCTATGAAACACGGATGTCTTACCACGGAGATGAAAGGCAATCATATGGCACTTCACCTCCACGGCTAACGAGTTCATGATTCTTGTCCAAGATTCCCCATGGTGCTATACCAATGCTAACTACTCGACCTTGCCTCTGAGCTCTTTCTAATAACAATGCATCTCCCACTTGCCTCGTTACACCTGAATCGAAATAATGGTTGAACCCCTTCGCCAGAACTATTAGTTGATTTTTTACGTGGATGATATCTACCTGTGTTAGTCCCACCAGTAAATATCCATGCGCCGGTTGTCTTCGCAGCCTTCAACAGACCCTTTCTCAGCACCTTCTTCAAAGTAGGCTGCAGTTCGAAGTTGGAACGACCGCCGTGCACGGTTATCAACAACTTGGGCAATCCTAAGTTCCATTGGCGACATAATAATTGTACTATCGGTTCTGGTCTTGTGTCATGAGCGAGCCTGACATACTGCAAGTTTAATCATACGTGTTAGATCTAAATAGTTATGCAAAATTCGTTCTCCTATTTACCTGAGCTTTGGTTGGATGTGGTCCACCTTGAAACTCGATGGTACCGTAGGCATCGGTCGGGAAGGGCCTTGTATTTTTTGCGGGCGACCATTGCTTTCGATCTTTCTCTTTGGTATTACTAGTGGTATAACTTTGTACATCTATACCAGCTCTGCAGTGATGAGTGTACGAGTACCCGCAACAACACCTATAACGATTAATTACTTACTACTACTTTTTCTAGAAGACAGGGATTAAATGCATTTGGGTACAAGATAATTGTACACTTTTGCATCTAATCTTCTTTTTTAGCACAACAGGAAATGCCTATGTACATCATATGTTTCATTTGATTCTCGTTATAAAGGGAACTTTTGAATACATACAGTTCTGTAAACGATATTAGCTACAGGAAAGAATTCAAACACTTGGCAAAATGATCGTGTGTTCTATTAAAATCGCTTAATTATCCAGTACTATGAAATATGATATTACCACAACAGTTAATATACACATATAGATAATCCATTTAGCTGCATGGTGTAATAAACGGGAGGATGAAGCGTTTTATATATAGCGGTAAACAAAAACGATCAATTAAAAATAATGATAGATCAATGAAAAGAAGCAAGTCCATAAGTACTGTGCAAACCTCATGTAATGCAACAGTTCTTTCAATACAAACCATTAACGTTGAGAACTGTGTAGAATGCATGTAATTAACAGTATTTTGTTAACGATTACCGGTGGTATATAAATTATTTCGTCGTTTAAAGCGATAATGTTATTTAGCTTAATGATGAAGCTTCAGCTTATAGATAAAATAAAATGCACATAATGATAGTTTTTCAGTATGTGTGTACAGAAATATATATATTTGCAGAAGCAATATTAAATATCTTCATCTAAATGCTGAATTCAATTTTTTTTTAATAAACGAGGATATTCTTTTAATCACGACAAAACCCACAATTGAACTCTCACCTGGAAGTGGTGATCACGTCATACTCTGCATTCCTATCTCCCTTAACTTGTATAAACCTATAAATGGAATGAAAGAAAGAAAAGTAAATGGAAAAGAAAAATGAACATAAGAGATTGTGTTAGTAATGACCTGATAGCAACTAATAGACCTCGAAACAATAATCGTACACAAGTAAAAAAAGTTATAAAATCCGTTTATAGATTAAAAGAAACTTGAAAATCAAAGTGCATTAAAAACAGCTATCGTATTCGTTCTGTTTATATTGCCTCTGCAAAAATATTGTTCTTTTCTAATGGAATATCCGACAACTTTATTTGACAACAGAAAATGTGAATAAGTACAGAAATTTAATAATGTATGATGTGTTATAAACAGCATATACTGGAAAAATTATTGTCTCTGAAAACTAATACAATCCATATTCCTTGTAATAAAGAAATACGGGTATGATACTGTAGTATAAGTAGTCAGTAATCTGAGTCACAGTAGTATAATGTTGCAATGTGCCTCCAGCATTATAAAGTCATTTACCAAGATCTCCATTAACCGTGATGTATAATAAATAAATGCATTCTGTAAAAATGTTGGCAAAACATAAATGTAAGAAGAAAGATGGACATACGTACCTATGTTCATCTTCAGCGCTTGGAATAAATTTCGAACACTCCCTCTTTTGAAAAGTTGCCTCTATCCAACTGCGCTCAGTTGTCTATAAAAGATTTATCTATTTGACTATGAACATATTATGAAAAGATATATTTAAAAAAATGTAATGTACTGGATTGAAAGATGCCAAGTGTTCGTAGAAAGCAAAAGAAATTAGGATTAAAATGTGGTATACCTTTGCCTTTTTTCTCTTCACTTTAGGAGTACTGGCTCCACAAATAACATTTCCGATTGCCATCTTGACATGTATTCACCGAATATACAAACTAAAAAGCAGTGACAGACAAAACCAAATACAAATGAAGAGAAATAATATATTCTTGAGTATGCGAAATACATGATTAGAAAATTGTATGAGTAAAAGTTACATCTGCAATAAGTTACACAAAAATTTAACTATGAATTACAAGATTATCCAACATATTGAGTTACACGATACAGTATCAATAATAGTACAAATTAAATTATAACAAACAACAATAATAAGAAACAATATTTTTAAAAACACAGGATGAATCGGAAAGACGTTAAGCACGTGGATAACTTATAAAAGTTGCATGCAACAAAGATAAGATAAATGATAAAGATAAGGAAATTAATCTTCTAACATTATCTTTCTTAGTACTACTTCTTATGAGTATCACAGTTAATTAATACGATACAAGCATTTTCGCAATCGTGTGGCAATTGAAGTTCATTTATTTGCTTCATTGTACATAAGAATAAACTTAGTACTTCTATAACATTATACAATTTATTACATGTACAATTTGATAAGTAATATTTAGGTATCTACATTTAATTTATCTGCTTCGCTATTTTCAATGACAATAACTATAAATTAACCAGAGAAAAGGCAACAAGTATATTATCTGAAATGATTTGGTATTAATGAAAATGGTTCTGTATTAAAGAACAACTAAATCACTAATGTAAATATGATATGACAAGAGTACAGTGAATTAATATCAGTATGTTCAAACCATTTTATAACACTTACCATGCGACAACTTTTGGTTTTGTCTATCATATCTACATAGAACTGCATGAGCAATATCTATGTGTGCTCTCAATGAAAAAAATTACAGTTGCAGTTCGAATGTATACAAGTTCCAATTAGTATAAGCTACTATTAGCAGATATTTAAACCGAGGTGGATAAGCAATTTATCTGAAAAAGATCAATGTGTTATACATATATAAATTAAAACCAATATTAATGATATTTAAATCCTTCATTTCAATTTATTATCACAGATTCGTTACCAAATTGATTAGACTTTGTTGTATAATGTTACAATCTCAAATTGAGAGCGATCATTAGGAACATTGAGCTGAATTCTAATTTTTATTTCACGTAGACGAAATGTTAATTAAAGGAATATTGTGTTCGCAAGTTTAAAACAGGCGGGAAAGTAATCTGTCATGTGCTTGCTAAGTTAACCTGAGAGCTACGATATCGAATTCATCTAGAAATATTAAACTCTTGATTCGTCAACAGAACGTACACTGGAATCACATTGTTCGCGAATAAAAAGTGCATATTTAAAACACGAAATGACAACGAATTCGTGAGAAAACGGCACTGGTTCGCGAGTACCTTAAATATTACGATCCAGCGAGCAATTTTCAAGTAATCGTACTCATCGCGCGTGAAATATCGCACACGCATAACGAAGAACCACCACTCGCGTGTATTCTTAAACACTTTGCTCCTGTGCCTCTCGCGATTCGTGATTCATAAACTCCTCCTCTCTTAGTTTTCCTTCTTACGTCACGCAGATCACCTCTCCCGCAATATCTACACGAGGTGCTCGCATTTTTTCTTCTCTTTCGTTATACGTCGCTGTACGTCGCGATCGCAGAACGTTTCGTTATTTACACGTTTCGTAATGTGGCGAAACATCGATGAAGCATCCCGTGCGGAGCACCCGTTTCACGTACCATCCCCCTTGGAACTTGAAAATATCGAGAGTTCGATTTGAGTTAGGTCTCCTGCATCGTTACTACTGGACAAAAACGGCAAAGTAGGCCAAGAACAAGGTTTTAGTTCTAACATTGGACTTCAAGACATCGACGAGCGATATCGATTACTATATGTTCGAATTTTATTAACACGTCGACTACATGCTCGTTAGAAGCATAAAAATACCTGGAAAAGTTTCGTCTGCTTATTTCATTTAACAGTCGTTTGTATAAAAGTTGGACCATAATTGAAGTGGAAACCCCCACTTGCCTGATTCCAGTCCGACATCCCCTCTTCGTCCCCAAGGGACAAAAACTGGGGTCCTCCTTTGCTGCATATTTCTTAATAATGATTTTTCGACTTTCGTTCCTTCTAGGGTTCTGCAGTTATTTTTAAATATACTGCACTATTTTCTTCACATTTTTACATGACCTTCTGTCCCTAAGCTGCCATTTCCTGTCGCTCTAAAGGAGCGATGTCTCTAAAAAAGGCCAAGGGATACTTGTTCATATTTGAGCCAGAATTCATACACGTGCATGACACTTGATCATGATTAATCGGAAATTATAAAGGATAGGTAGTTGTCATGATAGATTTTGAATGAAAGAAAATACATAGAGCACAATTTCAAATATTTATTATTTACAACTTAACATGTTTATTCTGGTTTCTCGGGACATGATACTTTGGGTTTATTAGATGATTCCAACTCGGATTTGTTGGCTCTATTCGATCGAAGAACTGCTCCTGGACTCGGGTATGGCCTCATTTGATAAAGCGGCCCCGAAGCAGTTGTATCTGCTCCTGTTTTAGCTTCGTTGTGCCTTGCTAAGCCATCAGACCATTTCCCCCTATAAAAAATTTTTCGCAATTCGAGCAAAACTTTTCATTTATAAATTTAAGAAGCATTTAAGTTTACCGTGGAATGTCGCTATACGATGCTGGATCCATAGGATCCAATGTCCTGTCCTTTTTCTCTTTAGCCTCAGACCTTTCCATTCGTTGACTTCTTTTACCATCTCCTGATTTGTGCCTCAATCTGCTTTCTGACTTTCGATCCTTTTTCGCTTCGGGTTCATCTACCTAAAAGTTCCAATGATTCGTCATGATTAATCGAATTATTTAAACAGTAGCTTAATAATTCTTTATGTGATTAAAAATGTATACTACTAACTTCCATTGGTTCTTGCTCACTACCACTATCGTCACTCGACAAATTATCATCTTGATCTGCTGCTTTGAGGTGTAACTCTTCCCTCAGTTGGGGTGCTGGTTGAGATATTTGACATTTTGGATGGCCAGGTGGTAACCAGGCTACCAAGTCTGACGACCAGTCCCAATAATAATGCTGACCACTGTTCATAAATCGAATATGTTAAAATAAAGAGCATGATTAAAATAAAATGATTGATACTCACGATCCAGGATCATAAATAGCTTTCCAAGTCTCTGGTAATGGGTACCTCTGAATCAATCGCATTTGTTTCTTTAAGTACTTATCAGACGGTTGTACATGGCCAAGTCCCCATAATTCTTTACACTTTTTTGTACATTCATGATAAATATTATACTTGTTAGGGCAACCGCTGTATCCCTAGATAAATAAATGAAATTCGTATTTCACATCCTAATCCTTTCTAAGATAATATTTACCATAAATTTTTGGGAAATATCAATCTGATTGATGTCATCCTTTGCGCTGTCGTAATCTTCAGCTATCACTTCTTCGTGAACCTTTTTCCTCGATTCTTTTTTTGAAGATTCTAAAGATAGTAATTTATTGAATATTTTGTTATTCTTTATTCTTTTTTCATGTTTNATTATACCATGTTTATCCGATCCAGAAATAAGTCCCCTTTTAGCAAGCCGTGCAGCTAATGCAGCTGGAAGTGGCATTTTGCAGATTTTCTCTTCTTGTATTTATGTCAACTTACGAAGATTTGAACAATTTATAAATGAACGCTCTAACTTGTTGTTCAAAACATGTTAACCGTACTTTTACGTTTCAACGCGCGGCATCACTTATTTGCGTGAGTCTGGCCACCTACTGTTATATCGTAAATCGTAACTTGTACCATAACAGTTTTCATCCGTTGCGTGTTAAATATCGTATTTGTAAAATAATGAAAGTTACAATTGATGTATTATAGATATTCCTTTTCCGTAACGCAAGTAACATCTACGATAATGATGTACTTAATAACTCGAGAAGACTGATCTCTATATTGTTAATTTACAGTCTGGATAACACTGTCGTCCAAAGAATATTATTGTTTATGCAAAATAAATTATTGAAATGGCATCAATCTTAAAAACCATTAACGGTTTTCAACTGTTCAACAAATGTTTAACGAGAAGGTATTAAAAGAATGATAATACACGATTTATTAACCTGCGCGTATTTATAATTTATGATTGAAACCTATTTAATCGAATCAGCTACTATAATACTAAAGTTTGATCGTAATTATTTCAGTCTCGATGTGATAACAGTCCCCAGTCGAGGTAAAAGGATGAATCCTGCACCTAAGAAACGTCACCCCGAGTGGCTTCCAAAACCAACACGCGTGGTATGTGTTTAAAGTAGTAAATATTTGCTATTTTATAAATGTATTAACTGCTAATATTATTTGTACTAGCTCTATAATGAAGGCCTCACTTCAGAAAATAAAGAATTCCTCAATGAAGTTGTAGCACAGAATCTAGCATCGCAGTCACTTAAATCTCCACTGAATGCCGAATTAGTTCAATCGACACAGACATGGACTAATGGTTCTAAACGTACTGGTTTAATCGGTAAAAAGATAGGAGTTTATCCGATGTGGTTAAAAAATGGAAGAAAAGTATTAACTACCCTGATACAGGTACTATATTGCAATACAATATAATATAAATTTTGCATATATCATCGTAGTGTCTCTCATGCCTTGATAGATCATAGACAATGAAGTTGTAAAGTATATACCACCAGAAGAATATAATCCAGTTGTGAAATCTAAACATCCTAATGTAAGAGTAAAAAATGGATGTCTAGTACTGGGTGCTGTGAACATTGATCCACAAAAGGTAGATCATGATCTTCACAGTAGACATTCACCTTCAATAAGTTTGCGACACAGTATCGATACTGTTTGATTCTACAGATCACTAAGGCATACTCTGGAATATTTGATACAGCTGGAGTCACACCAAAGAAAACGTTAATGAGATTCACAATTTCTCCCAATGCTGCACTCGAACCAGGAACTCCTTTAAGTGCATGTCATTTCAAACCAGGAGACTATCTCGATATACGAGGGAAAACGTAAACCTGTTACCAATATTTTAGTTCTCTCGTAACAAACATAGAATATTGACGACGTCGTCTGTCAATGTAGGATAGATCGTGGCTTTCAAGGTGTCATGAAAAGATGGGGATTTCACGGCATGCCTGCGTCCCATGGTGTGACGAAAACACATAGGAGACCAGGTAACATTGGCTCGGGAGGCGAGATGGCAAGAGTAAGGCCTGGTACCAAAATGCCTGGGCATATGGGAAATCATTGGCGCATCCTTCGTGGTGTCAAGGTAATTCCAATTAACCGAATTTGAAATTTGACACCGTTTTAAGATTTGATGAACGTCAAGTTCGTCTTTAGAAATACGTGAAATGAGGATAAGTCAATGTTGTTTCAAGTTTGTTCTTATTTTTTGTTAAGAGTATAACAATATATTAAAAAGTACAATCGAATTTTTATTTCCCGATAGAAGTGTATATAATTTGTTTTGTAACGTTTCTGATTAGTGAATTGTGATTAAAATGATCTGTCAGTACAATGATCACATCAAATTATCGTTTACATTTACTTTACGTATGAACACGGTTTCTTGCAAATACTCTTTGCAAATTTTATACAAAGATAGTACATATTTAATCTTCATTTGTCGAAAATAATTACAATTTTCATGATACATAAATTCTATTTAAGGAATTTGAATGTTTCTTTTCTATATAAAATTGTGNGTGGCACAATGAAAATTTTACATTAACTGACAAGAAATATATATTCACAATTCGTAATTTATTTATTGTTTATTTTTAAATTATAGCCTATGATGTAAATAATCATACGAAAAATTTATAAGACTGATAGACGTTAGCTATTATATATACCAACAAATTTTTATCAACAAGAGATCATGCAATTTTTTCCCCCTAATATTCCTATATTAGAAATATACATGTATTTAAAAAATTACTAATTATAATGCCGTTTAAGAAGTAAAGCTGCATCTCCGATTACATCGTTAAAATTATTGAGACTTTTTCTAACTCTCTTTCGTCGCTAGTTTAGAGATATAGTTGCCAGTTACATGAAATAAAAAGATTCCAATAAATTCTCCGCATTTTAGAAAGTACTTCGTTATAAATAGTAGATTAATAAATAATTACAATAATGGAATATAACTGAAAGTAAGAGATTATTAACAATATTATTAACAACTAGTAAATGACTTTGAAGTTTTTCGTTTTACGTGTATGTTGCAGATACTACGAATAAACACCAAATATAATGTAATTTGGGTATTGGCTCAGAATGTACCAGGAGAGACGAACACCATGTGCTATTTGTACGATACTGTCCTTCCAACTAGAAAGAATGAGTCGCCACATTTTCCTACCTATTTTCCGAATGAAAAGACAGGCGAAGAACTTCCTGAGAATCTTTACGCGGACGACGTTCAGCCGTTCGATGCTCCCACTATCGAATTTCAGCCGGAGTCATCGTAATGGTAATAGCATAGCAAATAAACAAAATACTTTTTAATGTGTCAAATTGAGATTTTTCTAGCAACCTGTCTGTTCACTTGATAATTTTACTGTTCATTCTTTCTATCTTTCTCTCTTTCTCTGCCTTTACGGAAATAATTCGTAGCCATAAATTAAGCTAATAAAGAATAATCAATCGATTTATTTTTATTTAGTAATGAATATTATAAATTTAACATGCCTAAAATATACATGATTCGTCTTATAAATGTAACATCGCTAACCAAGACTCGTTTCAAGTTAGAGTGGAGAGCAGCACGATCAAACGATAAAAAAAGCTTTCTTTCCTTTTTTCTTACTTTCTCTTGCTTTTCGCTGTTTGCTCTTCAATTTAGAGAGCACGTTAATTGATAATAAGTCGCTAGAATAATTTAGTGTCGGTATAATGCACGCTGGTTGCATTCGATTAAATTTCGCTCCACCATTGATTTATTTTCTCTTTTTCTCATTTACGAGCAGTCGAAGAAAATCAGTTAACGTACACATAGTTAAAAGAATCAAAAAGTAAATAATAGAACGCAGATTCTTATATGAATAAGAAACTTTTTCGCTTCGTCAGTTTGCCCGCGGCTCGTTCCAATCTCCTTTCTCCCGGGGCAGAGTGCCGGCCAGTAATAATTACATTTTTCAATTATTAGCGAAAAGAAACGTGATTCTTGGTTCAGCAGTGGCGCATTGGAATTGCCACGTGTCGCGGGAGCAAGAATGAGACAGAATAGAAAAGGGTAAGCAAAATGGCTCCGTAATGGAGTTTGTCGGGGGACGGCACGATCGCATAAGAAATAATGGAGGCCCTCTCAGAATTTAAAACCTCCGCCTGGCGTGTTATCGAAGTCGAATATCGGCTCCACGATCTGTGTCTGTGGTTCCACGCTCGTGTCGTTCGCCTGAAAATATGATACAACACATTCTCCAAATTGTACAAACGAAAACGAATTATGTGATATAGACAAATACGTACGTCTCCCGAAAAGTATTGCTCAATAATTTCAAACGCTAGCTTATAAATATCTATGTTATCGTGATTTTGTAGCTCCTCGATCTTAGTCAAACCTAGTAGAAAGTTGTGAAATACGAATTAGAGTTCTGTGGAAAAAGATATCCGAATAATGTTAAGAGTATCGCCAGGACCAACCTGAACATTCCTCGATCATAGTGGCCAATTGATCAAATTGCGATCCAGCAAGTTTGAGCATATTGTTTATACCATCTAAAACAACCTGTACAACTTGAGTATCTTTACAATCGAGAAGGTTACAGAATGGTTCTATCACGCCTTCTTGTATCATCCGCGCGACTTGTTCTTCGTTGCCACTTATCGTTAAGTTGCTGATTGCCCACGCTGCTTCCTTTTGCGTTTGGAATTCACCCTACGATAGGAAACAACATCGTTGGAGTAAACGAATTTCAACAGTCATTACGATCGTCCATTGCATATCCTTACATTCGCTAAATTACGAATAATAAGTGGCAGTAATCCAGCGTCTATGACCGCTTGAACCTGGGATTGATTGCCGGCGGTCACGTTCGAAAGAAACCAAACTGCTTCTTTACAAATCTTTTCCCTCGTGTGGGTCAATAAATTAGGGAAATACGAAAGCGCGTCGCAGTTTAGTACGACCTGCGTCTGTTCGTCCGTTCCCGTTACGATATTGCCGACTGCCCTCAGAGCCGCCGTTTGAACCTTAACTTCTTTGTGCGAGAGTAGTGGTATAAGACGGGGCACTACACCGCTGTCTATGACCAACTGGATTTGTGAGTTACCACCATCGGTCAGATAACTCAATGCCCACACTGTATCGACAAGAATCTGCAACAGGCATCATTATTCGTTACCACTAACATAAAAAATTGTATTCATTCGTTGCTTACATTGATATCTGTATGATGAATGAGCATGTTAAGAGCAGGTAAAATTTCTTTGATAGTTTGAACAGGTGGCGGTGGATCTTTGTTCCTACATAAATTTACGATTACCCATGTTACGTTACGTAAAAAACTAATTGGTATATCCGGTTTAATAAACATTAACAACGGTCGTACAACGCCGAGCTCGATAACATAATCCCTAGACACTGGACCGTCCCCAATAATATTTCCTGGAATAGACAAAATTTAGTGTGGCTGTGACAATTGTACTCGTACTCGTGTCGATGTTACATACCTAAAGCCCATACGGCTTGCTCGCAAACATTTTGTTGACTCGAAAGCAGCAAACGCAAGAAGTGTGGAACCGCGCCAGCACTTACGACCGCCTGCGTCTGGGATGATGTTCCGCTCGCAATGTTTGTCAAAGCCCACGCTGCTTCAAACTGCAGTGATGGACTGTGAAGTAAATGATGGAAAAAGTTTAAAAGAGGTCGACAATACGATCCTGAAATCTTTGGTGAATCGATCGTACCTATTGTGCTGTTCGAGACAATCAACTAAAATAGGTAAAATGCCACTATCAATTAATCGATCGATCGGTGGGTTACGATCTGAGGATAATAACTTTCTAGCCGATTGCACAGCTTGTAATTGAACGGTTGGATCTTTACTAGCAGCTTTCATTACTAATTCTTTTAAATTGATTTTTGATAGGTCAACGAGATGTTTATCGACGTCTTCCTCGTCTGAAATAAGATATCGGTTGATAGGTAATATCAATAATTAAAATATATTTTCCAATTAACGATATCGTAAGAATCTTTTTATTAGCGTTACCCGTTAAATCTATAGGCACATTTCTTCGTTTCTGTAAAGTTTCATCACGTTTGTTTTTGCGTAACTCCACTGTTACTTCATTTCTCCTTCTTCTCATTTCCTAATAAATGGGATATTTTCGTTTAACAACATTATGTAACAATACTTAACATTTCTTAAGCTATTGAATTTAATTTCAAGATAAGACTTAGACTGAAGACGATATATCAATATTTCTAAAATCACTACATCATTAAGATTGAGTATGACTTAATCCTCAGTAAAATAAAAATCTTATGAAGTCAAGCATTATATGATTATGTTATATAATACGACTAGCATTGTAATGCAAAGAAATGAAAAATCTTTGTAAGAAAAGAATTACTATTTGATGAAACTAGTCTTTAGCCAGAATAACTTACTAGTAAACATTACATCTTTTTCTTTTTTGCTTCTATTAAGTTAAAATATGTTACGCTTAGGTACATAGAAATTGAATGGAAAAGTAATATCATAACAAATATTGGTACAATATACCGATATGCCTTAAAAGCTAATTACGAAATACAAATATAAAAGGGGCTGAAGGAATTATGAAAACATTACACTTATTGACATTGGGAGAGATATAATGTCATTACAAGGATAGTTATAGTAAAATCATTCATAAAATCATCGGAAAATAATTAACGCTGGAAATCTCGATTACGTTTCTTGCATTAAATCATCGCAATCCGTATCTCATCAACACATGACGTTACTCGAAAGACCGTCTGGTCTTTTCACTTGTTTCGAGCCCCGTTCGAAATCCGACACGGCAGCATTCGATGAAGTTCCATCAAAAGCTCCCGTGCAAGCGTGTCGAACGGGGAATACGGTAAAATTGATTCGAGACAACAAATTGCGCGAGTGCATCGTGCGATGATAGTCGTGGTAAAAACCATCGTTGGCGAAGATAACGTTTGCGGTGTAATCCGACAGCTGAGGCCTTCGGACGCACAAACGTAACTGCGCACAACGTCGAGCACACCGGATACTCACTTCTTGATCTTTGCCTTTGTTCTTAAAAACCATCATTCGATTCTTGCCCTCCGTTCTTAGCATTTCCGCCGCCATTTTTTCAATAACCAATCCTTCGTGCTCCGCCGTATATTGATATGTGCCGGCACCCGGATGCCCGTGCCCGTGTGTTAATGCGAAAAATACCCCGTGTCCCGTGTTACTGCGGTCGATTTACTTCGATAACTGCATCCCGTTGCGCGACTGCCTTAATGTACGTTGATACGCGATGCAATATCATGTATAACACTCCCGTATACGTTCCGTTGAATCACGATCGGCCACACGACGACGGAATCTTCGCTGTGGTCACGTTTTCCTCAGCAGTCAGCACAAACGCAACGTTTCGACCATTCCGAAAAGAACATCGGAAATGACCGTGGTGGTGGCGCTTCGACTGATTAGCATATATTTATTAGATTTTGATATAAAAGTGTAGGTGAATCAACAACAGCTACGGATATTTTGCAAGACGTAACATACAATTTTGGAAATATATAATTGGACTGAATTTAAACATTGTTTGATTGACTATAAATAAATTTGTTTATAATAAATTCTTAAGTATAGAACGAAAATCCCTATGACAAGTCGACACCGACAGCCACATGATTCACTATCAGGCAACTTTCAGGTCTGTTCTGTTCCAATTTGATCCAATTTGATCGGTACAGTGAGTTTTAAGTAGTTTTGTGGCTTGCGATATTCTGCAAATAATAATTGTATCACGAAATGGCTGCGATCAGTTTATTAAATCCCAAAGCCGAATTCGCCAGAGCCTCAGCTGCCCTGGGCGTAAATATATCGGGCGCGAAAGGAATTCAGGATATAATGAAAACGAATCTCGGCCCGAAAGGCACCATGAAGATGTATGTATACTTATCCTCACGTGTCGGTTAACAATCATTTCATTTCATTTTATACAATACATTAAAGAATGAATGAAAACCTAAACGACACTTCGCATTCCATGCCTTATACTGAAATTATTTCCACTGCGAACAGTAAAATTTGACCACACCATTATTGTCCTTATTAGGTAAAGTTGACGTTGCCGTCAACTATCGGTAATAAATATCTTCGCAATATATTTCCTAATTTCATGATTCGATGATTAAGAATTCGTACATTCTGCTGTGACATTCAAAATATTGTTTTTAAAGGCTGGTGTCAGGAGCGGGTGACATAAAGATTACAAAAGATGGAAATGTATTGTTGCACTTGATGCAAATTCAACACCCGACTGCAGCTCTGATCGCCAGAGCATCCACTGCTCAAGATGATATTACTGGAGATGGTACAACCAGTACTGTACTGGTCATTGGAGAACTTTTGAAGCAAGCTGAGATTTATATATCTGAAGGCCTTCATCCTAGGATGCTCACAGAAGGATTTGAACTGGCTAAAGCCAAAGCTTTAGAAGTGCTCGATTCCATGAAGATCCCGATAGAATCCACGAAAGAAAATCTACTGGACGTAGCCAGAACATCGCTGAGAACAAAGATCCATCCTAAGATAGCCGACAAGCTGGCAGAAATTTGTGTGGATGCAGTTCTGGCTATAAGACAGAAGGATCTGGATATTGATTTGCATATGGTAGAGTTGATGGAGATGCAGCATAAAACTGCAACGGACACGACGTTGGTTCGTGGAATTGTAACTGATCATGGGTCCAGACATCCAGACATGCCGAAGAAGGTGGAAAATGCTTATATACTGACTTGCAACGTTAGCTTAGAGTACGAAAAAAGCGAGGTGAACAGCGGATTTTTCTACAAAACTGCTGATGAACGAGAGAAACTTGTAGCGGCGGAACGTGAATTTATTGACAACAGGGTGAAGAAAATAATCGAGTTAAAGAAGAAACTCTGTGACGGAACGAACAAATCGTTCGTCGTGATAAATCAGAAGGGCATTGACCCGCCATCCTTGGACATGCTTGCCCGAGAAAATATCCTTGCGCTTCGCAGAGCGAAACGTAGGAACATGGAACGTTTAGCACTAGCTTGTGGCGGAACGGCCATGAATTCATTTGACGATTTGAAGGAAGAACATTTAGGATGGGCTGGACTTGTGTATGAACACGTACTGGTAAATGATTCTAAGATATTCTAGTATTTAATATCCTTTTATGAAAAAATGTTAACACTTTGTTGCACCACGCTGTTACAGGGTGAAACGAAGTATACGTTTATCGAAGAATGCAAGAAACCAAACTCCGTAACTATTCTTTTGAAAGGACCGAACAAATACACGTTGGAACAATTAAAAGATGCCGTGAGAGATGGGTTAAGAGCAATTAAAAATGCTATTGATGATAAAGCTGTTATCCCAGGCGCTGGTGCCTTCGAAGTAGCTGTGAGCAAAGAGCTACATCGGTATAAAGAGAAAGTAAAAGGAAAGCAACGATTGGGTGTACAAGCTTATGCGGAAGCTTTGCTTGTCATACCAAAAACTCTCGGTAAATATTTTGAGCTGATAAACATATTTTCTTATTTTTCTGTATGTAATAACATTTATCTTTTTGTTCGTACAGCTGTAAATAGTGGATTTGACGCACAGGACACGATCGTTAAGTTATTAGAAGAAAGCAATGCGCTTGGTGAACCCGTAGGATTGGATATCAATATGGGCGGTGCCGTGAAACCTTCAGTTGCTGCGATTTACGATAATTATAATGTTAAGAAACAAATAATTAATTCATGGTAAGTAAATTTATAAGACCGTTTTGGAATAGTCGTATGGAATTTTCTACTAAATGTGTATTCTGTTTTTAGCACGATCATTGCGAGCAATCTACTTCTCGTTGATGAAATAATGAGAGCAGGATTATCGTCTCTGAAGGGCTAAATCATTGAGCACCCATTGGACTTTTTCATTTCGCTGTTACATTTGCATGATCTGTATTGATCTTACACAATTCCTGTTTTATAATTTCATAAGAATTGCATTATCTAACAAATAAAATGCTACTTTCAAATTAAAGTACTTTAAAATAGTAAAATCGTATTTTTTTAACGAATCGGAGTACACAATTTTTGCTTATTGTAACTATTTAAATAAAAACAAGCGACTAAAACAATTATTTGCATACCCTGTCCAACAGTACATTATTATTACACTCTAGACAAGAAATGACAACCACTATTAGTATAAAAATCAAAAATATTTATGTTAAATTTTATATTACACGGTAATTACAATTTGTTGATTAACTTCTTACAGGGCAGTCAGTCTTGGCTTTTCAACCGAATCACACTCTCTTCATCTCGTGCGTCTAACATTAAAACAAATTTTAAAACATTTGTACAAATATCGATCGAAACTTACGCGTTTAAATATCAACTCTTATACGCTACAGGGCATATGTATTAACAATCAACGCGCAAAATTTATATTATATTCGTTGAGCATCGGTAAATATTAAATTTTGCGCGTTAATATTTTAGATGCTAAATTTGGGCATACTGTTATACTCAGTACTAGATCACAAGTAGTTAATACAAGGAAATAATTTAACACGTTAAGCGCGGCGTCGGTCCCTGGGAAGCGACAGTGAACTTTTTATTTTGCCGGCGACGGTCCCAGGAACTGGTAGTATCAAAGTTAAGAAATAAGAAATAACTGAATTTCGTATTCAGAATCGTGGCCTATATTTAAGATCATCTTAAGGATTTCCTATCCCTATCTTGTACAGGAAATAGAGATTTAAGCAAATGCTTATGTTGATCTTAAGAATAAGCAACAACTCTGAATACCGGTTATTATTTGTCAAGTGGCCGAAACCCGCCACGCCGCGAAAACGGAAGCTCAGCAAAACTGGCTCAGCGCTTAACGCGTTAACAAATGTTTTTAGATTAGCATTTAGTGTAAGTACAAATTAAAATAGTATTACTCTATCGCCATTCGTAAACTTGAGATGAACGGAACTAATTAAGGAATATTACCAAATTAACAAATAAATTAACATCCATATTCTCGTATCAATACACTCTCAATCATCCCTAAGTGCGATAGCTGTCAGGCAAGCCTCGCGACGCTACCGCGTATTATTATTTTTTATCTCCAGCGCTTTTGATTCTCAAAATTCTCAGCACTGATTTTCACCGGTACAGTATAGCATGGCACATTTCGTCTCTCTGATTAACCATTCATTTTTTTGTATTTTTTTTACATTTCATATATATGTACAAGTTCGGCTTAACGTTAAGTTCTCTAATTATTGATTGATTGATTGATCGATTATTGAAAATCTATGCAAATTACGAAACTAAGAATTATTATTGGTCCTGGTTTCGATTGGCATAAAAGTATAATCTCAATCTATAACAGATAGATTAAATTCTACGGTTGTTCATTAATTCATTTGTGCTCTAGAATTTCTGACAGTTAACAAAGAAATGTAGGCACAAGGTACAATTAACTGTACTAACAAATCTTTTTACATGTTATTCGATATTATGGACAGAAAAACTATCAGTTAAAAGTTATGAAAATGCATTCCTCTCTTGAGATGCTATAAACGATGCTGGATTTTATAGAAAGCAATCGTAGCACGTGCTAAATACAACGTGAAACAGGAGAATATAATACCAGTTTTTGTAACAGTTCGCTTTGGTTATTGTTGGCTGTCAACATTATCGATGACCGTGAATTCTATATACACGTATTATTACACAAAATTAAAGATCTACGTGAAACAGGGAAACGGATTTTCCCTTCGCGTTCCCGTTCGTTATTTCAATGTGTTAAGCGTCGCCGTGTGTTGAACGTCATGTTTGAGATCGTGCAATACAATCTTTGGATTGATGTTAATCAGCTGTGCGAGAGTGACACAGTTCACTTTCATCCGATGTCCACCGACCACCATGTAAGTATTTAACTTTGATAAATCAACGGGAGTTTTGGGTACACCGTAAAACGAAAATTGTACACACTTCTCTTCTTCTGGCTTTGCTATAACACTGCTACCGGCAAGGAATCTTGAATGCGGATTGATAGATTTCCTAGCGACTGCGTTTATCCTGTGCGGTATAATATTAGGACGAAACATGTTTCTCGCTGTAGACTTTTTCGCCACGCACTTCCTTTTTGGTGTCTCTGGTAAATCTTTCTCAATATCGGCGTTCTGTTCGATCTTCTGCCATTTGACTTTAGCCATCAAGCTCTCCATCAAAGGCTCGAAATTGTATATACTCTCTATCTTGAGCTCCTTGTTAGGATGTTCCTCGGCGTTATGAGTGGACACTTCCGTGGGACAAGTAAAAGTCTTGTCACAGTGTTTGCATTTGAACAGACTGATGTGCTTGGATATATGGTTCTTCATCACGTTGATGAAAGTCGTGGTGAACGAGCACTCGGGGCACGCGTATCCTCTAGACACCTTCGTGCTGTCTTGTTTTCTGAAATGCAACGGTAGATGCGAGTGGTACATGTTGTGATGTGTCTTTATTTTCACTTCGGAGTCACATAACTCGTTGCACCATTGGCAGGTCCAACTCTGCTCCTTCGAACTGCTCGCATCTATATCCTGTATGTCGCTCTGCGATTGTTGCAAGTACAATTCGTACGAACTTTCCGTTTGCGCTTTTGAAGTTCGAGCTTTCAATATGGATTTCCCCGGCGTCATTTGCATCTCCTTATATCTAAACGGAGTATTCGATTTGCTGTTAACATCGCCCGGCGACGACGTTTCCTTGTGCATCATTCTCCAATGCAGTTGAACGGCATCTACAGACTTGCCAAAGAAAGAACAGTAGTAACAATAGAAAATTAATTCTTTCTGCTTCACATCGACGACGTGTTCCTCTTCAATATCGTTGCTGTAATCGTCGACGAGAGTACTGTTATCGTCCAATTTATTGGAATGTTCGGCCAACGGTTTTTCTTCGAATTTAAGCGGCAGTGAATGATGATTGGTGTCCCAATGTTCCACCAATTCTGCCTTCATAAGCGTGGTGAAGGTACAGTAAGAACACGCCAGCATAGTCTTTGCCGCGTGCACCCTCATGTGAATCTTCAGCCCGGTCGAGTTGATGGCAGTGAAGTTGCACTTGCTACAATTCTCTGATTGTTCAGGCCCCTGCTTCTCTTTCTTCTCCGCGACGTCCCCTACGGTTTTCTTTTTGCGTTTTCGAGTCCTCTTCGGGAACACTATTCCGTACTCCCGTTGCCAAAATTCGTCCGGTAATTCGGGCCCACCGGCCTCCGGATTTTTCTGCAGCTTCTCGACACAGCCAGGATGTTTGAAACGAATATGTTGACGCATCGAACCCTCGGAATTCGTGCTACGATCGCAGTAAGGGCAGATGTATCCAAATCTCTTCAGATGGGTTAACTGCACGTGCAGCTTCAGCCCGCGCCATCGGGAAAATTCCATTTTACAATGCTTACAAACCATCATCTTCTGTTGATCTTCCGATTGTTCAGCTACATTGAACAAATTAACGTTAGCGATGCATATTTTGTACTTTACAGTTTTCTTTATTTGTGGTACTTACTCCTATCACTATCCGTGTTTAGTTCACTTTCCATCTTTATCGGTGAATTGCTATCCGCATCTGCACGAGTCTCATTGTCCGTGCTATCAGCCACGTCAGCTGTCGAACTTGATTGTGCAGTGGAAGGTTTGTCAGTAATATTTTCAAATTTTGATACTTTAACGGTGCTTTGTGTAGTTTCAGTTATAACTGATTTTCTACCATCGGTTTCGATAGCATTTACGAGCGCAGTATTCTCTGCATTTTGTTTCAACAATAATCCTTTGATCATCAGTGTCTGTTTCTTCAATAGTGTCCGGACCTAAACACGTTGATCGGTAAAAAATGCGTTCATAAAGTACAAGTTACTAGTTCAATTACCCAAGTACAAAGATCAATTACCCATTCCTCGATGTCATTGTCCGGAGATAATGGTTCGTGATTCGGACGATCTCCGTTATGGTGCTTATTAAAATGTTTCAACAATGCGTTGCGATTCACCGACAAGTAGCCACAATCCTTACAATGCCATCTGCCAGATTATTGTACGGTTAAACAATTACGAAAATGATATCTGATAAATAAGAAGACAATACGTACCTAGCATAATTTAATTCTCTATAAAGGTGATCCCTCATATCGTGCTTGTATTTCGTTTTAAACGTTGTGCACAATGTACAGACGTACATATTTCCGTCAGCTTTGCCGTATGGACCATACCGTCCGACATCCGTCTCGTTGAACTCGTAATCGTCGATTGGATTAACACTTTCTTCCTTCAGTTTATCTACGTCATCAGGAGTATCGGTTACATTTTCCCCTTCTAAGGACAATCGTTTCGAGCTTTCCTTCGTTTGCCTCGCCTCGTCCAATGAGGACGACTTCCCTGGTCTTATTTTAGCTGGCTTAGCGGTTGATAAATCTAAATCGCATTTCCGCTTCGCTTTCGGGCTTGTCTCGACCGATTCATCACCTTCCTCCTCGAGAAGAATTCCGCGAATGTGCCTGATTCGCGGCATGTCCCTCCTCCAAAGGGGAGTCGTATCGAAAGGTTCATCTTGTCCGCTCTGTTCCACGTTCTCCGAATTCTTTTTATTTATACCTCTTATCCTTTGGTACACTAAGATATAATCGGCATTCGGATCATTAGAATGTTTACTGTTCATGTGTTGTTCGAACATTATTTTTACGGTGCCCTTGAAAGTGCACAAGTTGCATTTGTATTGATATTTTTCATCGTGCGTCGTACTCGCATGATTCACCATTTCCGCTTTGTATACGCATTTGTAATCGCAAATGTTGCACTTCCAATGATTTCCATCTGGGTCCGGTATCTCTTCATCCGCTTCCTCTTGCACGGATTGCTGATTGCCCTCCGTGCTTTCCGATTCCCTGATTACTTTTACGAACGGTCTTTTCTCCGGATGTTTATCGGACAGATGCCTCTCGACGATGTGCCTAAACGATTCGTCACTATCAGAAGGCATAGAAAATAATCCAAGGAGGACAAGTACCGTTTTAAACATTTAACAAGCACGCGAATGTTCCAGATGTGCTTGTTAAATGTTTAAAGTCGATTGTACATAGTTTGCACGGAAGTAAGTTGCATCGTGTTTAGAAGTCAGTGATTCAAACAAGTGCATCGTTTAATCAAAACGTGAGGTATTAAACATTATTGTGTACCTATGATAATGATGGTGATTGCAGTGAGAACATTTATAAAGTCTGGTATCGTGCATTTTCAAATGAATGCCCATTTTATCGATTGCTATGTTTAATCCCTCTTGACCTGGCGGCGGTTGCGGGCAATGGGGACACCGGAAATATTGTTCTTCCGAATGCAAAGCCTTTAAATGACACCTCAACATCGCTTCATCGACCGTTAAATAATTGCATTCAGCCACACCGCACACGTATCTATTGTGGGGAAAACATTACCATTTCTTACATCCCTGATTTCACTCGAAAAACGTGTTGAGACTAGGTACACAATATTCGTGGCAAACGGTACATTCACTCTTGCTTAAATGTTGAAGGTAACTTTGAACGGCAATAATAACGGGGAAAGGCTTCTGTTACTTACCTCTTGTGCTCCGGTACGAATTTCGGGATGAATTCGTCATCGTTATCTTTATTACTGCTCTCCTTCGGCTTCCCTCCCATTCGGCCGTTCTGATGAGAACTGCTAGCCAGGTTCACCATTTTATCGAACATCCGCTCTTTCTTATCCAAGCAGGGCACCGGGTTAACTGGGCCGCTCTCCGGCACACTCTCGTCCTTCGCGTGCAATTGCAGGTGTCTAATTATGTTCATACGAACTTTCGTGGTATACGGACAAACAGCGCATTGCACTTCGCGATTATAGATAGCTTGCCGCGGCAATACGTCTATTTCGTCGGGACTAAAAGTGAGCTTTTCAGAATCCGTCGCTGGTTTTTCAGGCTCTTTCTCGTTTGACTTGGTAGCAATTTTACGCTTCTTTCCTTTCCGTTCTCCATTCTCGATCTACACAGAAAAAAATCAAGTTTTTAGTATTAAAATCGCTTGAATTTAGTTTTATACGAGAAACCTTACAATTGGTTGAACTATGAATAACCCGTCTGCGGTTGGATTCTTCGGATCGGCAGGAACCAATTTACTACAAGAGTATTTGTGTTTCTGTTTCATGTGCGCTACTGCTTGATGGCCTACTGCACACCTCTTTTTGCACAGCGCACAACCGAATCTTTTTAACCCGTGCGTCTTCAAGTGTTCGACGTGGAATCCAATTTTCAAAAAACGTTTGCCACAATGGACGCATTTTAAGCTTTTATTCTCACCGCCTAAGGAACATTTTTTTCCGTGACTTTTCAAAAGAACACCTGTGGGCGCACTGAAGCCACAATCGAAACCGCATATGTACAATGCCGCTCCTGTAAGGCCGGTATCTTTAATATCTTCCAGCGTCAAGGGTTTCTCCGTTTTCGTAGAAGTACCGGCTTCGATCTTGCTCTCGGTGAAATCCGTGTTCGAATCTTTAACATCGCTAGAAGTCTGTTCATTCGAAGAATAATCAGTTCCAACTTCCGTTTTCGGTTTATCACCTACATCAATACTGTCCGCTCTATCCAATTCGGATTTTATATCCTTTGGTGGAATGATTTCCGCATTATCATAATCTATGATTTCTATATCGCTATCATCTAAATTAGCCGAGCTGTTGATCATAGCTGGTACATCGTTGTTGCCATTTTTCAATACGCCAGGATTGTCCAGTAAATTGGTATTTATAAATTCATCGCTGCAGTCGAAAAGCGTTTCACCAACCTTTGAGGAACTCGCGTCTGATATAGAATCCGGTGGTTTATCCAGCGAACTTCTGTCCACAGATTCTTTCGTCGAAACGTCCGATTTGTTGAACAGGCTTCCGAAAGTTTTATTAACGCTACTTTCAGCGGAAGTCGTACTGTCGTTAAGAGATGTTTCGAACACCGAAATGTCAGGATTCAATGTACTATTCGAAATGTTGCCATGTCCAAATAAAGCAGACAAAGAATCGTTCACTGTTTCCTTGTTTAATACATTCATCTCTTTAGGTAATGGCAAGACAACTATTTTCTGAGACGTCGTGGCATTAACAACCGATGTTTCTTTATTACTATCATTTCTATAACTCTCCACGTTGATTATGTGATCGGTTTTGTAAGAATCATCTAATGTTCTTACGACTAATTGGTCTATCACGTCTTTGTTTCGCACCGCCTTGGTAGGAAGAGACCGTTCGATGATTTCCGGTAATCGATTAGGATGAAGCGAACTCAGATGACAATGCATCTCGCTTATGTAGTCTGAGCCGTGCAAGCAATAGAGGCATTGGTACTTGAAGAAACCATGCGTTTTGTAATGACTAAGAAATTGCGGCATTCTTACGTACGTAGCGCGACACACGTGACATATGAAGCAGGACAGTGATAGGTGTTTGCTTTTCAAGTGTGCCACGAAAGATTCAAACACATAGAAGAACTTCCCGCAATCGTGTTGACACACATAAGGATGTATAGTATCGTGTCGGTTTACTTCTTCCTTCGATGGCACTTCTTTAATCATTTTGCAGAGTAAAATACCACGATGTCCAGAATGTGCGACCGTTTGATGTATCTGCACGTAAGAGGATGCAACCGCTCTGTAAAAACAGTATATGCACTGATAACGACAATGCGCGTGTTTCTCGTCTATGTGCGATTTCATTTGATTCCAATCCTCCAGTTCTACTGGACAGTATGCGCATTTCTGATAATCATACGACAGCAGATTTTTCCTTTTCTCAACCGCACTCGCGTGTTGTAAATAATGCTGTTGATAGTAAGACTCGACATCGGTGGTAAACTGACAATTCCGCCCCATGCATTTGTACAAGTGAACCAGCTTCGCTGGCTTCAACATCGCATTGTAAGCTTCCGCCGATTTTGCCTTGTTAGTTTGTGCCGGTAACGACTCCTTTGCTTTCATGAAGGACGGGGTCGGCACCACTTTTACAATTTTGTATTTTACATTCGCCGATTGCGTGGATGGCGTGACGGCCAGGGTTCGCGTATTCCCTTGAGTTATGACCGGAAGCTTACCCTTCGGAGCAATCGGAATGAAACCAGTGGCGAGTTGCGTGGTGGTTACAGAAGCAGGAGAGATACTTTTTACGCCAATTAGTTTTATCGTCTCTGGCGTGGGCTGTACTATCGTTTGGACAGTCTTCGTCAACGGTTGCGTAATGTTCACTGTGTTCACCCTTTTCAAAATTAGAGGCGAATGAGTTTTCTTTAACAGGGACACAGGCTTACTTCTTACAGGAGACGTCTCGACCGCTTTTCGTATATTATTTATCTGCAAACAAAAATTAAAAGGTCCTATAGATCTAACTTCAAAAACGAACGAACTTGTTCACTTACAATGGGGCTTTCGGCACCGTCATTCCTCGGCGCGAGACTGACTACATTTTCGATTTTCAAGAACGAACATTCTTCTTCCACGTCTGATTGTGACGAAGTATCATTCTTATCCGAGGTACCAGTTTGATTCGCATCTATCAGATAAAATATTTTCGTGTAATATATTTCCCGAAAATAGACCGTATATTAAATCGTGAATAGTATTATTTAAATACATACCGTTCATTAATAACGGTTGGTCTTCTTGGCTAGTTGGAGAAGGTCCAGGAACCGATAACATATCTCCGCTGAGTCTTCTTAATCGAATAAAGTTCTTCGGTTGATTACTATCGCTGTCATTCGAGTCGTTCGATATTTCATTAAACCTGTTTTCCATTCTCCCGATGAAGTTCTTAATGCTTGCGATTGGAACCACATGTGGTGGCCTGGGTAGAGAATCGGTGGAACGTGATCTTTTCAGTTGGTCAATATCGGGAGAGGCACTTTCCTTAGCTTCGAGCGGTTTCGTGGCTTGAAGTTGAGCAGCGAGCCTCTGGATAGTGGTCAGCATCGGATCCTTCGAGGACGCGTTAATACTCGAAGTTTCCTTCAAGATCATGTTAACATCAGTAGACAGTTCCCCATCGGATTGTTCGCTGCTTGAATCGGAATCGAATACAGGAGGCGCGACTTTGATATTCTCGATATCGCTAGTCTCTGCCTCGCTTTCAACATTCTTCTTCGGTTCCAATAATGGATCCTTGACTATCAATTTCTCTGTATCCGCTTCAGAAGTAGGCTGAGAATAGGATTTCACAGGAGATAATGTCTCCGTTTTTATTATTGAATCTGTTGTCTGTGTATTATCTAAATTCTCTTCAGACAATGGAGGAGGCGTTTTTGAGATAGCCGAGGGTGCAAGCAACTCTTCAGATGGTGTCTTCTTTATAGAAGCCAAAGTATCGATGGTTTCGATTACAGAATCTGGAACCACGTTATTAGTTTCGGAATTGTCACTCGTCGTCGGTTCATCGGTCTTCATCTTATCCTTCAACTTGTCTATGATGGATAAATCTTTCTTCGAGGCATCTTTCTGTAACTTGATGCCGATGTTTTCAATGATCTCCTGCATCTTTCGTTTCCGTTCCAACTGAATCTCCACTTCCTCTTTTTCCAGCTCCGGTGGACACACGAATACACTTAGATTTCCTGACGGTAAATTCGAATCAGTTTCGATTTGCAACAATTTTTTCGTTTCATTAGGAACAGGTTCCATTTCGGGAAGTTCTACTTCCTCGGGTTTAACGATGGGTATTTCCATTTTTGGTTTTTTATCTTCCTCATCATTTATTCCATCACCCTTCTCGGTTTGTATCGTAGTTATAAGCTCTTCTTTCTCGATGAATTCAGTTGGCGTAGTGTTCATTATGTCTTCTATTGTATCTAAAGTAGGAGAATCGTCTTCAACCTTCAGTTGCTTCTCAGATACATCGACCGGGTCCCTCGATTCTTCTTCCACTGTCGAGTTGTGCGACATATCGATTTTAATCATTTCAGCGTTCGGATCATCTTTGTGCCACCGATCCATGTGTCGCTCCAAGTTTGATTTCATTAATTGAATGTAGTTACAAACTGAGCATATATAGCCGCAAATACAGTTCTCGTCGGGTATAGGATCCTCTCTGGTGGACTCGGAGAACGATTGTTTACCTACGCGGCACACTCTGTAAAAGTGAGTTCTCATCGAAGACTTTGCCACAGTTTTATAAGGACAATTGTTGCAATGGAACCTATATTCTCCCGTGTGCGTGGTGCAATGCTCATAAAATGCTTCCATCGCAATCTTCCTTGTACCCTTCGTGAAAATGGGACAAAATCTGCAATTAAGTTGCAATTTACTATTTTGCTCTGCGACAGGTTCTGTGCATGTGTTCTTCAGATCGCTGTCCTTAGCGTCCTGAATAGCCGAACGAGCGTCTTCAGACTTCAACCTGGAAATTAAAATCTCCTTTCCAGGATGATGCACTTTGTAATGATAAACGATACTCTTGCCTGTGAAGGCGCAGATCAGGCATTTGTACCTATCCTGTATCGTCCAAAAATAATCGTTTAATGTTTCTAGAGTCAACTCGTTATAAGCTTTATCTTCTTTAGTCATAATGGATCTCTCTTTGCGTTTTTCGACTTCTTTTGGTTTTTCATTAATCGAAGGCGTGCACAATTCTTCATCTCCTTCTTTAGTCAATTCTTTACTTTCTACCAGAACACACGAACTTGGTCGTTCCTTCGATTTTCGTTTACTTATGTGCCAATCAGAAATCTTTTCATTATCAGTGTTCTTAACATTATCTTTTGGTTTTTCTACGCTAGCTCCCTGTGTCACGTCACAGTTCTCTGCATTTTGTAGAATTGAAGTGATCTCCGCGTTGTTAGGACCGTCTGTTTCAAGGCTAGTATTCAATTCGGCATCACTTTTAGGAGTCTTTTTCTTTTTCTTTTTAGACAGGATACCCATCTGCCATTTCTTCTTTTTCTTTTTCGTTGGAGATTTTCGCGCGATGTTTTCAGTTCGTAACGGATCGCCAACATCGTCGTCTACGTCCGCCTCGCTTCCCTTATCCACTAACAACGGATCCTTGTCCAAATCGTTCTTGGATGGCACTAAACCTATTAAAATATTGCTCAACAACTCTTCGTTGGCGCTGGCATCTATTTTGGGCAAACCAACGGCCCTCTTACCGGAAGTTATGCTACTAGCCAAGGAAATATCAGAAATAACGCTCCCCACGTCTGAGAACTGAGTATCGTCTCTAGTTTCGTTCAACGATTCAATTCCGCTCTTTTTGCCCGACTTGCCGGCCTCTTTCTTCTTCGCGAGAGACTCCGCGGATTCAGGTTCAAACTGCTTATCTGGATGCAATGAAATATCTACAGCCGCAGCCAATTCTGATACATCTATCCCGAAACTCTCATCGGAAGAACTATCGAACATCACTTTAGAACTGTCCATTCTGGAGATGTCCGTCTTCTCAACGACTATACGCGGCTGCTTCAGTATTTCCTTATTAATACGTTTGCTTCTTCTTAGAGCGTCGGAGTCATCGTTCTTTGCATCTTGAGCGGATGACGGACTATTACATTGTATCGGGTCTATTCTCAAAGCCAGCGGCTGATCGTCTTCACTGCTCGAAGTCGAGTCATACTCGGAACGTTTCGCAGAACGACGTGATCGAGTGGATTGTTGCCCGCCCCTCTTCGGTCTGCCTCTTCGTTTACTCGACTCAGTCGTTTTAGCAGACTTTTTTTGTTTCGAAGAGTCTTCTGTATCGTACTCTTGGTCCAGTTGACCCTGCTCACCTTTCTTCAAAGACGAATTACTGTGAGTGGACGTATTCGCGGTAGTCGAACTCTCTCGCGATCGACAGTGCCGATAACCAGTTGCTGCCACAACATCATCGCTGATGAACATGTCTCTAACGTCCTCCTGTAACATTTCTAAAGAATTCCTCCTCTTCGTTTTGGTCTTTGGAGAAACATGAGTAGATTTTTTCTTAACCACTTTAGGTGTTTCTACGACTGTTTCCTGTGCGTTCGTTTTATCCTCATTCGACTTCTTGTTCTTTTCAACCTCTGTTTGTTCTAGAGTTACGCTGTCTTTAGAAGCCGGATCTTTGTTAGAAGATCCACTGACCGAAGTCTTTCGCTTCCTCGCTTCTCCTTTCTTATCATCAGCCTGTGATACAACGTCTGATTCCGTAGTAGTGTTCAGAATGTCAATGTTTTCAGCTCGAGTTTCGTCGTCCGAACTGTCCGAAACGATGACTCGACGCTTCTTCTTGATCCGGACCTTCTTCGTCCCGGACGTATTGGTCTTATCCGAACTGCTACTCTCCGAATCAGATTCGATGATCTTTTTAATTTTCTTCAGCTTCTTACCCTCGAGTACCTCGCCTAATTTTTGTATGAACTTCGCCTGCTCGACGAACTTTTTCCCTTCGCCGAATTCGAACGATTTTTTAATTAAAGACTCTATCCATTCCTGAGTTACCTCTTCCTTCGGCTTGGATCCCTCGGACTCCTCGTCTTTCTTAAGCTTCTCAGCGTTTTCTGGTGATTTCGAAGAAGTAGTGCTGATAGAAGCGGATTCAGTAACAACGGACTCGTTCTTATTTTCTACAGGCTCAACAGTAATGTTCTTTTCCTTCGTGATTGTTACCACGTGATTGTTGTCACCGCTCCAATCCTCCACGAGAATATTTCCGTCACAGCTACTGCTAACCTCCATGCTGATGTCCTCTTTGTTCCTCTTCTTATTATTAGTGTCCGTATCTTCTGGGACATAATTCGATATAGGACATTCTAAAGGTTCGGGGCGCTTTATCTTCGGGATTCTAAATTTCTGTAGGCCTTGCGAGGATTTCGCCTTTGTGTCGATAACACCGTACAGACTCTCCAAAGGAGATTGCATATCTTGCTTATCTTTTCCTGCCTTTTCTATCTTACCACTGTTTTCAATATCCCCACGTTTATGACTATCGGTTGATTTTGATGCAGGTTTAGTTTTATCGTTACCCTTCTTAAGCGGTATGAAAGCCAGTGTACGTTTTCTGGGATCTCTATCGTTCAAGGCATTCTCCTTAGTCTTAGTCGCAGGTAAATGTTTGTCTTTAGCCAATCTAGGGTCTCTGACCGAAGAACCATTATCCCTCGATTGACCTGTATTCTGGGTTACTGTGCCATGTTCCCGTACCCGTGGGTCCCTCGACCATTCGGGTCTGCGATTAAAATTCCCTCTGCCTCTGTCGTGGTAATACGTACCGCGACTTCTACCCGACCCTCGACCTCTGGTCCAAGGAGAGGGTGTACCAGTTCTTGGAAATTGTCCCGAAGATCCATCTGTAGGTTCAGTGACACATGGGACCGGGACCTCGCCCTCTGGTCTGTGAGTCGACGGAGACTCCCAAGTCTGTCTCTGATGGGAATATTCAAAAGGCTGTTCGTAGGGGGTTCTGTTTTCACCTTGAAAATTTCTATATGGCTGTGGAACAGGGAATCTTTGTGGCAATACTACAGGTGGTATACTTGGCACAGGAACTACATCTGCATCTTCCGGCCTTGGAATATGATTAATGTCGATAGGGTTGGGGTTTATAGTCATCATAGGTCTTATGACAGGGTTTATATTCGTTGGGAATTGATTGAGCCTCAGCTGGGCCTCGTTTATTTTACGGGGATCGATGGTATTCATGTTCCACATATCTTGTTGCATCATCTGATATGTTTGCGGGGGAGCGGTAACCACGCCGGTAAAGTTTGTAGGAGTCGGCCACTGATTGTTGGGAAACTCTGTATTAACGTTCATGGGAACTGGTAAAGTGCCCCACTGGCCAGTCGGAGCAGGTGGTGCTCGGTTGAAGATGTCCGGCACAACTTCGGCACTTACGGCTGTCGAAGGTCTTGGATAATGCATCGCGTTTTTGTCGATTACGACTTGTTCGTCGGGCCGACAGTTAATATTATGCACGTTTTTATCGACATTGTCGCGTACGTGCCGCGGATGCCGCTCATAATTGTCCGTGGCACGTGGTTCTAACTTGGAACTCGCAGAAGGGAGATTTTTATTATCGGCCGGTGTACCTGGCGTAAGTGGACCTGGACCGTGACTTAAATTACTTTGAGATGGCCCCTTCATTTCACCAATCATTGTGCTTTCGATTTTTCCAGAGCTCGAACTACTCGGTAAACACTTTCTAGTAGTCAACTTAACTGTATGTTTATCTACTTCATCCCAGCGTCTTTCACTGCCGGTATCGATACCGTCCTGTCGTAGCTGCGGTTTTGATATCCTTGGATCCTTGTTACCTTCTTGCTTCTCGTTCTTCGATTTGCTAGAACTAGTATCTTCCTTTGACCTGTCACTTTTCTTCTCCACCTTACCGCCACCTTCCTCGTTCAACAACTCCGCTATGTCTTCCAGAGATAACGGTGGTTCCGAAACCGGAGGCGGTGACAGCAACAGAGGTACCGAAGATTTTAACACAGGTTTTGGAAGAGGTTCCTTTCGTTTCGGTGACGTTTTATTAACGTGTTTGACAAACAAAATCTCCGAATCTGGCGAGCTCAATCTTGCTTCGGGCACATTTACCTCGTTTGACTCGTGTGACGAGTCCGTGTTGGAGTCGGACGTAAATTCATCAAGCAATCTTTCCTCTTCTAGTATCGAAAGCATTTCTGTAGAATTAGGTACTTGATGAGTCATAAGACTTTTGTGGGGAAGATTGCTGCCGATGATTTTGGCGGCCGTAGCCACGTCGTGACAAGGCCATCCTTTATTACTCGTCATATGTTTCTCGTTCTCTTCGAGCATGTCCCACTCGCTGAATGTCATATCGTCCGCACTTTTACTCGAATTTTGCGGAGATAGTTCGCCACTGGTTCTCTCAGTAGGTATGATAATGGGAACCGTAGTTGCTTGAGTCTCTACGGGATCAGGAGATGCCGGTTTGCTATCGACTTTATCATAGAGATCTGCTTTGCGTTCTGTAGGAATTATTATCGGCTCTGTCTGCGAGGTCGAATCCGGAGTAATCGGAGGACTCGGGCTGGCTGGAGTCTCATGGATATTCTTGATTTTTGCAGTTTTGGATTTCGGGTCTTCCACGGGCCGAGTCTTGGATTCTCCCTTAGACTTGTTCTTCGTTTCCTCCGACGCGCTGCAAGGAATTCGGTTAACATGAACCTAGCAAAACTGTTCGAATTAAGCTTGAAAATTTTTATTGATGAACAGTACTGCTTTACAAAATTAATATACATTGTTTTTTAACTTGAGGATACGACAATGATAATGGAAACGAGTTGAGAGCTTTTCTACTGTGTGTATGTAACGAGCGCAATACTTACGTCGAGGACCCCGTAGAGGTAGCATCGTCTTTCTTGCGCGGATAGTGTAATCCGGGAGTATTTCCCTGAAACTCGTTTGAGATTAGAATGATTAAATTAAAAAATCAGTACATGCACTACGGAAGCCTAAAGACACAAAAGGATATACGAAAAACTGATAGTGATGCGAAATCTTAGGATAAACAAACACTAATGAAATTGTGTTATTCAGAAAAAAAATAACACTGCACTATGTGATAAATTAATGTTTTTAGTTTATCTTCATTTAAGATAAGCAATATTTAATAAGCACAGATAAGTCCACTACTAAAAAATAAAACGTCAGGCAAATGATTTAGATAAGGTGATTAGCTACGCTCTAACAAGGCAAAAATTTTAACATCCGTTGTGTATGGTACCATTACACCCAATGCACCTTAATTGTATTAAAATGTTGGCAATAATTTTTGAATGTCTACCTTTCCTACTTTGTCGTGCAACCTCTGCAGAACTTCTTCGCATCGCTGCAATGTTTCGATCTTCAGCCTAGTACATTAATAACACACCGTTTCCTTAATTATTACTTTCATAATTTTATTTGAAATTCAGTTGCTCATATCGAGATATCAAAAGTTACTTGATTAACTCAGAAATCAGAAATGCAAATACAGTAGAATGCCGAACTAATTGCAAGACACACTCATTCGGACAAGTGATTTTTCGGATAATCGACCTGAAGAGATCCAATTTCTAATGCATATCATAAATACAATACACGATTCGAGCCAAGAAATCCGTGACTGAATGCGGGCGCTCTCAGTAGTCAGTGTTTTTCGCTTGTAATTAAAAAACCAAGCTTCATTTTGCATTTTGCCAAAGGAAATTGTTGTTCAGTATGACCCTCCCACTCTGTCATTGCTCTAACACTTTTTATGGAACACCCTGTATATAGAACCGATTCATTTTCTATAATTTGAATAAATGATGATCTAATAACGGCTATTTCGGAAAATTGGCGTCTGAATAATTGACACTCTACTGTAATTTAAAAGTCAGAAGTAGAAATAATCAGGAGTTGGAAAATGTCCATGTCATGTTGTAGTAAAAATATTTTCGTTGCGCGCAATATAAATTGGAAGTTCGATAATTGTTAAACCGATTGATATCGTATTTTTCATGCGTTTATGATCAAACCACTTTGCGAAACGTACTTCCTTTTGCTATCCGTTAAGATCTCGTGTAGACTCTGCATTTTCTCCAGGTTCGCTTCCCGCGATTTGTCCTTAACGTTTTTCAACCGCTTTATCATCGCTTCCAAAAACGGAATGTGTTTTTGCATCTCTGCAAATTTCTTGTCGTATTCGTCCATCGTGCTGGTTGTGTATCATTCACCTGTGCCAAGAGAAGATCTTTATACTTTCAGACACTTCTATCTTTACCGCTTCCACTGTTCTTCAATCAGTTTGCAATCCAACCCGCTTATTAAACGTAATTTATACGTAATATAACACTTGTACATTTTTTAACAACATATCGATTTATCATAATAATATCTATCAGATTTAAATAATTAAAGAAATGTTTATTACATATTGTCTGTTTGATAATTAAAAAAGGATTTGCTACAACTTTTTATCGCCTATCAGTATTGTAATTCAATTCGCGTAACATGATCCGTTCACGTTACTAATTTCTCTACCGTAAACAAAGATAACGCTCGACACTCGTGTAATCTATTGATAAAGTAGTGGAATTCGAGAGTTAAATTTTTCTCAAGTTACAGATCACTCTCGTGCTTCCCTGAACAGCTTTAATCTATCTCTAATAAAGTTTTTGTCATTCTAAAATATTTTTAATTAGCGGATACGGATTACAATCAGATTTCGAATACTCGTAACGTACGGACAGGTAATCAATAACGGGAATAACAAACAGACCAACACGCGTGTACAAAAGAAATGAAAGAATAGATACATATTGTATTACTTTTATTCTGATACATTGGAACATGTAATGATAGTATATATCGTATAACTGTGAATCTCCAATATTTTAATGAGTATATCTGCACATTTAAATAATAAGCACTCAACTGAACGGTACAAGACCACATTTTTTTATAGACCGGGAGTGTAGGAAGTAGCATAATTACTTGAATGTGGTATATGTGAATGTACTCGCGAGACACCTGACAATAGCGCCAGGGAATTATATACTTTGTGTCGTAGATACGTGTCACTGTTTCGACTCCTCTTCAAAGAATGATCTTCATGTAACACATCATTGTAACACAATTAGCAAACACACTTTCCTTCGATCACTTTCCGAACTTGAAATCCATTAAGATATGAAGTCCAGTTCAGCTTGTGTTAGTAACAGATCTCACGTAGTAACGTAACCCAATATAAGTGCATTACAATTAATCCGAAAGATTGTGCACGTATATAAATTCTACGCAATCGTAGATTGTAACGCACATGCGTGTGTTGGCCATCCTTTACAAACTTAAAACTCGAGTTTTTGCTTCAAAGAAAGGATGACCAACGTGGAGCTTTGTAATCTCCAACTGACAATGAGATTGTATTAGTCAGTTCTACTTTCGGGCACAAGTCGAAAATGTTCGACAAATCGGCCATAAGACAATGAACAAGAAGAATAAACCATTTTTTCAAGTACTTCCAGTGAAGTTCTGTAGACAACGAATCGCTAATAAATAACGCACGTTGAACCGAACTTTATAGACCAAACACGAAATGGATTCTACCACGATTTCGGTTGAACGAACTTATTAGCAATATTCTTTGTACCTATCGAATGTGTTGAAATCCTATTGTACTGCGAGCCAGGCCGTGTCCTTTCGGTAAATAAGGAAACGAGAGAAATGAGACACATCCGCGAAAGTTTCACATGCTTCTACTACCTACTAAAGTAAGCTTCTGAGGTTCTCTGACCCTCATACAGAAAAAGGAAGTAGAGGGAAGCACAAGGCGAAAACCGTTGGATGGTGGCGTGATCATAGCTAAAATGTCGATCGAACAATATCCTGTCGTACTCCGAAGGAAAATTTTTCATCGTTTGAGCATTTGCAGTGTGATAGATTAAAAATCCTAACAATATTTTATGGCCTGCAATTGTTTGGAAATCAACTCGATTTAGGTAACGAACGTATCGGTAAATTATCGTTACGTGCCTTAAAATCGTTAATTGTACCAACGAGTTTTGGTCTACTGCTACACTAATTTTCTCTACAATATTTGGGTGTAGCACCCAAGATTATTATAATGTAGATAAGTTCTTCATGAACACTCACTTCAGTCTTTTTACTCTACCTCGCTAGAGAAGCGTAATCAGTATTTAGAGAACACTAGTCACGATCAGAATCGTCGTAATTAGTTTCTCTCTGAAACCGACATGTGATGAAGACTAAATCAATTACTTCGAAGTCTAATGAAATGGAATCAGCTTAAGAAAATGCAATGTTACAATAGCAATAGTGGTAAATTATCCAAGAACATTAAATTTATGATAAATGCCAGGAAATTATTTTTTTTATTAGAAGCTTCGAGCTATAGGAAACTACAGAAAAGGCTTGTAATTCTCACTTTTCCCATGTTCTCCTCTCGATAACTTTTCTACTTATTTCCCGTTTTGCTCCTCACTTTTTGCCAAAATTAATCGGATAATGACGTAATGCGATGCGTCACGTTCAACTGGCAGATATCGAGATAGTCATATGATATGAAATTTCGCAAATTTCTTGCACAAAGGAACATCGCATCATCGTGTTCTGTATTGTCCAAGACTAAAATGTATACCCGTGCGAGCGAGGTCGATGCGTAAGTAATAATTGGCCACGGTATTGCATTCCACAAGAGTGAATCAATTTGTGTGGCGTCTGAATATTTCCCACAGCCCGCTAGATCTATCCCACATCAAAGTAAAAATTCTCTGATTGCGACTCTAATTTCTCTGACACACCTGGTAAAACATTACACAGCAGATTATCGCTGTGCGCATTGATCTTCCTCTCGCGTTTGGATCCTGCGTGTCCTCAAAACCCTCTCGGCACTGCGGCCCGAAGGAAAAGAGTACGAGACTACCGAGTTCCTCACGCGACTTGATACGCGTTTACGTGCACGCACTGCATAGAAATTTGTTTAACTCTCTCTCGCACAATGTCGTAGTTACATCGAATCAGAACTGACACTTTTTTTCGAAGTTCATGCAGCGCTCTCTATAATTCTGCATTACGAGCTACAGGAACTAGAGCATCGCAATGAATATTTGAGCATCAAAGGTACTGATTCGGCGTACCAGTAGCTTAATTATCCGATGGAACGTCACTTCCTACGACGCACGCACAAGGGACACGTTTGTTCCATAATAACCGCCTTGACTCTCCGACGCAAGAGTATGCCCAAAAAGTCAGCAGCCTTTCGGTACCTTGTATACAGGAGCCACGAAACCGTCCACGTTCCCCAAGAGAGCAGTGCCTAATTACTCGACATTTGTTCGAGATCCGATCTCGAGTAGATCCATTACAATTCTTTGGGCACGAGACTCGATTTACTTCATCGGTACCGAAGCACAAATTCCTCAAGAGTGTTGATACGCTTCGAGGTCTCACAAAGTGCGAGACCTTAGTCGCCGCTTTCGATCCACGATAATTCGTTGCGTTAGTTCATTATTCGTTTCCGAATGTACATGCATACATACACTATCGGAGAAATACGACACGATTGCATACAGACACGTAATTCTCTTTCCTGCATATGTGACACAGAGGAAAGAATCGGATTGCTTTTCAAGTTGCGAGGATTAAGTTCGTAACGGGTCGCCTTTCTAGGAAAGGCATCTCCGGTTTAGTACAATCGCACTATCTACGAAGTAACGAACGTAATGGCAACCCCGTAGGGCGTACGATATACAATGGCTGCTTAACGCCGCTTGAACAATTTCACATGGTTTCAGTTCCTACACTCATCCGCAGTCATATGCTCTTACTCACTTTTACCCTACTCGCATATTCCAGGCAAGGATTTCTTTGTCTGTTTAGGTACTACGGGAATTACGCTAATGAATACCTTTAATAGTACATAGTACATACGAACAAAGCAGTTTTTATTGTTCCAACGGATAATCTCGAGATAAACACAACACAGTATTGATTACATTATATTTTGCGAATCGATAATTGCGCTTGTTAATAATATATACATTCTAAGTTCTTGAAAACAAATGAACGCCGCACGAGGAACGATAGCGTGGATCTGTTGATTCTCCTAACAGTACACTTATTAACTGTCGTATGTTTATTATTGAAGTGTAGAAACAAAAATCAAAAGTAAAAAATATGTGTTCGGTAGTTGTTGCAAGGAAGTTATCGTCGAAAATTTATTCCACGAGTAGACGGTCTTTAAGTTTGACGCAGTTGTTTCAGTTAGTCCTTTGCCTCTTTACAATGTACACTAATGTTACGAAATGAATTGAAGGTATTACTCGATCCAAGTTTGCGTCGGATCCCAATTTGCGTGTCCAATAATTATGTAATCCCGAAGGATGAGACGAGTGCACCGACTACGGAGATCCGCCATTTACGACTTGTTGTAAGTAACGTCGTTCGGTCAGAGTTCCTTCCGACGCGAATACCTACCGTCCACACAAAGCAAACTTCAGAATCTCTGGTGGTGGGAAACGAGTTTAGCCGGAAACAACCGAGCGCCTCAGGTTCTTTATCCCGTTTACTTGTGTGATGATTGAAGAGATCCACGTGCCACACACTACTATCTATTAATAAAATACAAAGCATGATATAACGGTAAATGAACGTTACATAACACAAATGATAAAGATAAGAGAACAGAAAATGATAAACGATGATAGCTTATAAATTTATGAAAGAAAGAAATTTTACTTTCCACTCGAAGATGGTTATCGATGTGAAATAAAAATTCGATAGAGAAATTGCATCACACGTGGTTATGCACTTAAAAGTATTAGGTCAGTTCTCTCCATAATAAAACACCAAACAAATGTTAGATTTTAATTATCGCTATTTTAATTTCACTTCATTCCAGTAAATAAATGAAATGACTAAAATTACAATTACAGTTCTTTGTATTTATTTGTGATGTTTTTCTCTTGTTCTCGATCTCACATAATGTAATATGTAGTAACTTTATATTTACAAATTACCGGGCCAGTGTACGGCCAGTAAACTTTAGTTGCGATTTGAATTATTTACAAAAATTTTCGAGTTACGAAACAACCTTAGTGTTCCGAGACCGCGAGCTTTCACGGGACAGAGTTCTCCTTCGCGGCACTATATAATCAATAAAGCGCAAATCACTATTACTCTCTTTTTTATTTCTTTTTAAAAAAGTGAAGTAAAAGTCCGTTACAATTTTATAAGAAACATTTTCCACCAAATATTGGTTAAGCGTTTACTATGCTCAGAAATGAGTCTAACATAAATGCAATTTGCTTTGTGAAGAGCACATCTCATCATTTAAATCGTTATATTCCTCTTCTTCCTCGTTTTTATTATAGATTGTGATAGCCTCTCCTAAGGCAACATGTTCTTGGAAAGTGATATTAGGGAACGAACGTCACCATTCACTCCTCTTTTTCTCTTCTCACTTAATAACACTAATACGTTTTTTGTTCTTGGCAGTACTTGTAGTAATTACATTCTCTCCGGTAAATAACTTCCAATATTTTTTTTTGTTATCTTTTATGTAGCACAGTTTTTGCATAATTGCGGACGCATTACGTAAAGTCTAAGGGCGAACAGAGATTGATCAGATAATTAAAAATTATATTTGAACATTACACCTTCGAAGTATACCGAGAAACATTCGAACAACGAAAATACTAAAAAATCGGATTCCTAACTATACTGATTAAGACAATATATTACATGTTTCGCTAAATTTGTTTTTTTTTTTCCAATAGAAGTTATATTAAGCCCCGAAAAATTTTAAGTATCGCATTTCCCACAGTATTCGCAGCACAGCTGCGGCATAGTTTGCTAGACCCCAGTGTGCATTATCTCTCGAAATTTGTCTAATAAATACATGAAACTTTCTACACGAATTATTTTCCGTAAGTTCCAATTCATAGGGGTATAATCATTATTTCGCAAAACGTTGTATAATCATTACGCTTGTATAACGAGTCAACAAAATTTTTAAAAATTTCAACAAGTAAAAAGACATCCAAGTATGGAAATCGTTTTTTATTATATAGAGTATTGGAAATAGTGTATATAGATTTAATAATATCTGCGTAAATTGGAATCGAATGAAATGGTCTAAACATGTGCGTAAACAAAAAAGTGAAGTATAGAAAAAATATTTTTTCCCAATTGAGCCGAATGTGTTGCAAGTTTAAATCAAAGGAAAATGCAGTTTCATACGAGACTTTAGTTCATATTAATCATCAACCAAGTAACAATTCTGATAAAAAAAAGTAAAATAAAAAAATGTAGAACAACTTTTTATATTATCATTATTATTATTATTGTTATTATTATTATTATTGACGCTATTGGTTAGATATAAATATTAGGATACGAAAAATCTAATCACAAAAGTAACGAGTTAATTATAAAGCAAAACATGTGTTGACAGCAATATCGATAATCGAACATTTCCAATTTATAAATTTGTTTCTGTCCCTCCATAACCGGTGGAATGTTCTCGTTATTTCGGTGAATAATCTCTTCCCCTCCTTTCCATTTAAATAAATTCGGCAAATCGATTTCTCTATCTGTTTTGCTAGCGTAGCGTTTCAAACATTTTTCGTCCCGAATTTCATTCTCGAACATGATAAGAACACTGTGTACCATCGCGCTTCTACAAAGTATATATTATATATTTATTTCCTTAATATATGCAAGACTTGATGAATAGTCGTTCTGGTTTCGCTCTGTTCGTACGGCCACATTCCTCATGATAATACATGTAGAATATACTATATGACACTTCTTTTTTTTACACGTAACTGTACTTGCGGGTGCTGCAATTCGCAACTCTCTTAAGGTTTCGATCGTAATTATTCAGCTAATAGGACTTCGCAAGCTTCGGGATAAGAAAATAAATTACAGAATAAACGACGTTGTAGCACAGTAATTAACTGTACGATAAAGATTGTAAACGATCATGGAACCAGCGCTGTAATTTCTAATTAAAAACCTGTCGTCCGTATACCTGCTCTTACTGCCATTCAGAAACACACCGAAATACTACTTTCTCATAGTCATTTGTAAGAATTTCCGTATCTTTTTTGTTCAGTCTTATAAGCAATAATTCTTCCTCTTTTTCCATAGAAAGCTGTTCATTTTTAAACGACTTATCTTGTTTTAATTATCCTCCATCCTATATCGTATTCCTCTGTACATTTATAGCATTTAAGGATGTATTGGCTATACAGTCAATCCCAAAGTTTATGTACCTTAGAAAAACGCATTTCCTATAATTAAAAAGAAATCAGACGTCGGAAGAATAATGCTAATAATAAATAGCTACGTGCTAAAAAGTATAGAAGAAAATATCCAATTAATTATTGACGTATATACAAAAATTGTAGCTATTGACGTGCTCTACACGAAAGATTCTATGTATTTTTCTTCTAATTTGAGTATTTAACGAGTTAAGTATGNTATAAAAAGTTTTCGCTAGCATCAATAGTTTACGAGTTATTGACGAAAAACGAAAAAGCAGTTTTTTGCAAATTACTCGTTAACTATTGTCGCTAGCGAAAACTTTTTATATGGAAATTGTAGATCTCGTTGTCCTCTACAAGAAAGGTCTGATAGAATTTTCCCGTAGGTCTAACGGTTTGGGAGTTATTTGCAAAAAACGAAAATTTTGCAAAATTTGAAGGGGTACCCCTTGGAAAAATCTCGGAAAAATCGAAATTTTTTTGTTGTTGTTTATTATTAGCAATGTTCTTCCGACGTCTGATTTCTTTAAAAAAAATGCGTTTCTAAAGTGCATAAACTTTTGGGATTGACTGTATAGCCAATACATCCTTAAGTCGACGTATCATGTAAAATTTGTTACAAACAAATCGAAGTCGATGGGTAGTCGAAGAGAAATAAAGACGTTCCCGTAGAAAGGAAATACTGCTCCGAACTAATTCGCGTATCGTGTTCAAAAATGTCTCTTATCAAAGTGGACATTACTTTGCTAGAAACCTTACTTCCGTTAAGGTTCAGTACCTAAATGACTTTGTATTACGCAAGCAGGATTTTTCACGTAATGGTAATCTTCCTCTCTCGTAATCGAAGTGGATCTTCATACTCACTGTTTAATATGAAAAGCCATCTAATTTGAAAGATATAATTTGTTAGATCGACGGCTGCCGGTGGCAATGATCCTGTGCTCGCAATTGAACGTATAAGAAGGTACGACATTAATCTAATTATGCACTGTAGTCGACGCGTGTTGAAGTCTTTCTAATTCTTCCAAAGATAAAACGTTTGTTTGTCCAAGCTCTGGGAGTTTACCGGCCCGGGCCTGAGCGAGAAGTTCCGGGCTAAACCATCGCGCCAACTGATTCGAAGTAGGTGAAAGATCTCCGCCGTTGCTACCCACGTATCCTAAACCTGGCGACGCTTGACGACCAACGGGCATATTCAGTGGTTGTGACCGCAGTACTCGTCCATCTGCGAAAAATATTCCCCGAGTTCTCTTATGCCATTCGCCTGTGCGCACCTCTTATATTGGAAAACAACGCTTTAGCGATATAATAATACAAAAACAAAGGACGTCCTAATATAAATGTTAGTTGATTACTTTAAACTTGATCCAAAGATAAATGCTGTCTAGACTGGTTTAAATAAGACGAACAGCTAAAAAGGGAGATCTAACTATTCCAATTTCTGAACACCGTTGCATGCAATTTGGTTAGACAAGAGGTAGACACCTGAAAATATTTTAGAACAATAAAATTAATGCAACAGTTTACAAACGGGGATAAAGCCTGAATCGAAGAAATTACATTAGTGGATTCGAGAAGAACTTGTATCGAATAATCGGTAATTTGTAACTACCTGCGCGGCTGGAGTTGTAATTTTGATTTAAGACCATTTGCATCTGGGAATTGAGAGTCCGTTGTTGCTGCTGTTGCTGCTGTTGCGGTGGCTGATGCTGCATGTTGGCCAGATGCGACGGAGCCTGTTGCACCTTCATTTGGTTATTCATAATGTTCGACCTCTGGTTTATCATCGAGTTTTGAGCAACATTGTACTGCGGAACATTGTGGTGCGGTATGGAACTGGTCATAGTATGTTTAGAGCGTGCCGGATTACCGTACACGCTCGAAACCGTTCTATGCTGCTGTTGCTGCTGCTGCTGTTGGAAATCTGTGTTTCCACTGTATTGGAATTGATTACCAGCGTTATTACCACTACTAGCATTACCACCCTTCACTATCGGTCGACCTACGATAATTAACGAGAACGTGGGGTTTAAATAACGCGTAAAGAACGTGCCAAATTTTTGAAATAGCCGACGATACATTTCGCGTACCTGGATGTTGTTTAATAGTTGGGTTTGTCCACGTTGGCTGAACAGATTGAGATCGTAAAGTATTGTGTCGGGAAAGTACTCCTTGCGTCAGTAATTGGACCGCGGACTGCATTTGCTGCATTTGCGATGCTTGTGATTGAGCAGCCAACTTCGATGCATCATTACTGTTGCCTGTAGGAATTTAAAAACAATTGTTTTGATGGAGTCAAACGATAGATAGGAAAAAGTAAGGATTGTTAATAATTTTAATTAGTTTATACGGTCGCAAGAACATTTGTGTTTCGTGACTTGTTTGTTACGATTGTTTGTTAACATACATGCCATTCAATTCCAAATACATGCAAATCCCTTATCCACATTTAATCATAGAAGCGTGAAAAGTTTAGATACATGCATTAAAGTGTGAAATTCTATTGTAGTAGTTCATTGAAGGAAAAATGAATAAGTGTAAAGGAAAACTTAAAGCATAATATATATTTATACAGCGTTTTATTTTAAAACTATTTAAACATACTTTTTTCTTGTAATATGTTTGTATATCGGTCTAGGAAAGTGTAAATTATAAGGAACGATATTAGTATTAGAAATTAAAAAGACTCATTCTTGTGTATATAATTCGTAAATCAATTTAGAAAACACGTTAAAAGTGCCATGCGAGAAAGAAAAGAAAACAAAACTATCAATCGTAATTTGCATACGGAAAATAAAAAAACAATACTGTTACATCGGATATTAGAAATTCAAATAGTTCAAACAACAACTTCATCGTTCTGTGAATTTGATATCTGATTTTCCTCTGTCTTCTCTAAAGCGTCAACTGTTACTGTCTCGATCTCAAACTGTTTTAAGAGTTCGTCAGCAATAAGAGGACTGCTATCGTTATCATCATTCGTATCATTTAAATGTTTTACGTCCGTCTCTTTACCAGAAGTGTTCTCGTTCAACGATTCATTAACAAGCTTCTCCTTCGATATCTCCAAATTCGAATTATTATTCTTATCTCTTTGTTGCGAAGGAGAATACTTCTCTTTCAACGCGGACTCCTCAACTTCTAAGTTGCCGTTATGATTCGACTCGGGTAAATTTTCCGAAACGTCAATCTCAGATAAGTGATCATGCTTTTTATGATTAGTAAGCTGAATAATTACGCCATCGCGAGAAGCGGGTTGTTGCATGGACGTAATGTTTTTGGAATTAAATGCGTCACGATAGTTATTATTACGCGACTCGTTCATTGTATGAGAAAGTAAATAGTTCGTTTCTAATTGATGATTAGACTGATTCGCACCATCAGGTTCCTTATCGGCAGTCATTTTACGCAACACCGATGTCGGGGTAAAAGCAAGCGGTGTCGGGCTCATCGTCTGCTTCACCGGCGAGTTAATAGGACTGGATGCTCTTTGTTGAGCTTGTTGCTGTTGCTGTTGCTGCTGCTTCTGTTGCTGCTGATCCTGTCGCTTACGGAAGTTCTCGCGTTGCTCCTCCAACTTTTGCTTAATGAGTGCGCTTTGCATTATAGACTGAGCATGCATAACAATCTCCCGCGGTGAGGGAACTCTATGTTGCATCACTGTTAAAAATAATAAAAAAATCAAGTGTGTTTTTAAACGAGTCAATCGCTTCACCCTGGCTGTAATGCCTCTATCAGAGTTGCGTGTTGGAAAAGAATTGTATTATTCTTGATATTCTACCTGGATGCTGTACCGTTAAAGTACTGGAGCTACCAGTCAGATTCGGAGATATTATCGAAGGTGGACAATAAGCTGCATTCCAAATATCACCATATGTATATGATTTATACTATTAAAATTACGATCTTTCTTCTTATAAATGAATTTTAATTAAAGAGAGAAGAGAAAGACTGATAAAAGGTTGCACAAAAAGTACTTCAACTGTAAAGATGCAGAGAGTACCGGAAAAATAAGGTTGAAAATAAAGCTTACAGACAAATGAACAGTTTCTTGATGGCAAATATAAGAGTGACGGAAAATAAACTCTGCTACAAGTTCCATCAAGACAAGCAACAGGCGCTACTTACCATTGTTTATAGGAGAAGGAATCCTTTGCTGTTGCTGCTGCTGCTGCTGCTGGTACAACATCTGCTGCAAGATATGATCTTGAGGAGTCGGTGCACTGGGATGTGGACTTATCGTGCGTGGTGTAGTGCCGCCGTACATTTTCAAAATGTTCACTAGCACTTCCCTGTGACGATGCTGCATGGCTGGATTCTATCGAACACGGTATTGGAAAACATGAAACGGTTAGACAATTCTGTTTTATTGCGTGTGAACTTGTATCTTTCGCATGAACATGCGAACCTGGAGTTGTTGTATAAGATGTTGCCTGGTTATCTCTCCCTGTTGGAGGCCTTGAATGATGGCTTGAGCTTCTGGTCGTTGGAGGAGTTCCTGACTCGTTGGAGCATTGTTCAACATCATTTGCATTTCCGGAGGAACGGGACTCATACCTAACATTCGCTGACCGCCCATCATCATAGACAACATATCGGAATGCGGCTGCTGTTGCTGTTGCTGTTGCTGCTGCTGCTGCTGTTGTTGTTGTTGTTGTTGTTTCTGTTGCTGTTCGAAACGATCCTGATTTATGAATATCAATTTTCTCGAAAAGACAAAATTTGTTCGAAGAGAATAACCTAACCTGCTGAATCTGCAACACTTTCATCAGATTCTCGTGCTGCATTTGCACTTGATGTTGATGCTGGTTCGGTCCAAGAGAACCGACGTGATTAAACGTCGTAGCATGCATTGATTCCGGAATCGATTGCTTAGAAGCAATCTGTTGTGTTTTCATTTGCGAGTTAAGCAACTGTAGAAAATGTACACGTTACAATTCACGCGGAATAGAATCTGACAATAGGAGAAATATGATATCGTACTTGAATTATCGTCACGGGCTGTTTCTGAGAAATAGGACCATTCGCTGCTGGTATAGCCTGTCCTCCCGTCACTTGAGCAAGCTGAATCACGAGTAAAATAGTATGTGAATAAACGCGATAAAAGTGTTACTTATTTATTTAAACGAGAAACCAGGTAGCATTACCAGTTTTTTAAAAGCAGAGAGATCTTCTTCAGTCTTATTTACACGAGGTTGTTCAGTCGAAGACGTGGGTGGCGGAGCACCACCTCTCATACGTGCTTCCAATTCCTCGAGGCTGTGCACTACTTTTCCACCAACTTCTGTAAGAAATTCACAGCATCATACAGCGTTCCATCGTGTTCCACAACGAGGAAACGGAACCTTGCGAAGTCTCACCCATGTCTTTAATCGATGAGCTCTTCATTATCGGTATGACGGTGCCAGACGCGTCCCCTTGACCGTTCTGACTCGGTTTGTTTCCGCGTTGCAGCATTTCCAATAATTTCACTCCAGTAGTAGATGTGCTATTGTTTGTTGTCGTCGTATTGGCAGGAGAAATGGGAGCAAAGTACGTGTTGGATTCTGTTACCGATGGGATTTGGATATTTGGCTCAGTGATATCGTTCAGGAGATTGTTTAATATATCGTCCTGTATAGAAGTCCTGCGGCTGTCCACTTGTTGAACCGGACTTTCCCTTTTAAACCACTGACTGAATCGTGAACAGGAACCTCCGTTCGAGCCAACTCCGTTCTGTACAAAAATGAAACATCGTTTCGTACGTAATGATATCGTTGTATATCCCTATAAATGAAAAACTTACGGTTAAGAGACCAGGAACACCAGGGAACGTATCGGATTTGAGGAATTCGTCGAGATTGAAGTCGGGATGGCTATCTTCTTGATTCCGGTTGGTGGTACTAGAATTATTCGCGGTCTCGCTACTTTCTGTCACGGCACTTTCATTGGTTTCATGACTCGCTTTCTGTGCCATTGACGAGGACTCGCTCTGCTCTGAAATTGGTGAATGCGGTGCAACAACAGCGTTCATCGGCTGATCCATCGCGGTCGGCGTGCTACGTCCCTTCGGACCTGCTGAATTCTCGGTCTGCTTCTCATCCTTCTCCGACGAGCTCTTCTTGCCGCGTTTCTTTTGTACCGGGGCCTGTTTTTTATTCTTAGTATTGCTATTGCTAACCACCTTTTCCTCGGGAATATCTTCGAAGCCTCTCAGCTCGATCGTATCATGCTGAGACGTTGGTCCTGAACTAAACCACTCCGGTTCATCAGCTTCGTTACGATTATCACTGAAAGTTCGCCTACGATCATTGCTATATCTTCGTTCCCGCCCGCGATCCTTATCGCGCTCCGATTGATGATTACGATCATTCCGCTCTGCCGGCCTGTCACGTTCCCTATCTCTGTCCCCGTAATCGCGACCAAAGGATCTTCGCTCGTACCGTTCGGTCCTTTCGTCTCGTTCACGCAGATTGTCACGATCGCGGTCTCTCTCCCTCGTGTTCTCCCGATCTTTACCAACATCCCTAATGTCACGGTCGCGTAAAGAAGCACCGCTGCTCGCCGGCCCAGACCGGAAAGCAGGCTCCAATTTCTCGTTCTCCGGTCGGAAATCCCATATATCACGAGTTAAAATCCTTCCGCTTCCGATTCGTCGAACAGGCTCTCTATGGCTCACCTGTAAACGTTTCCCTTGTTCGCAACAAGCTTGAACCCTTTCAAGACTAATTAAGAGTACCTCTGCCTTCCCTATCGGACTCTCGGGACGTCGGCTCGGAGGTTGATTCACGTTCACAAAACAGCCCGAATTGAAACTCCTGCGTTGCGGACTCAACACTATGCCATCTTGTTCCTTCCGTATTCGTTCTCGGGGATCCCCGTTCCGACGTTTATTATGACTTTCAGTAATCTGATCACTACGTCCAGTCCGTTCATCTTTAGGAGGTGTATCGCTTCGCTTTCTGCCAGAATGCCAACGTTCAGGATCCCATAGACCGCGCGAACTTGGGGAAAAAATAAATAGAATTTGTAAGAGAACAATGATCTCCCAACAGCCTATAAAGTAGAACATACTTGTTGTATGAGATGTCTAAGAAATCAGGTCTCTTCTTAGATAACGGCAAAGTCTTTATCATCATTAACTCCTCCTGAAAATGAATCATTAACATAGTTTTATATATAGTTTCATAAGCCTCGACGCGACATAGATGTAATAAAAAATTTCGCAAGTAAATACCCGGGAATATTGGTATTGGGGCCTCGAACGGCCCACTTTCATAATCGAAGTGTCGATTACCTCCCCAGCCACCGACATGGATATAATTGCTTCATCTCCTGAAAAACGTCGAAAATAGTAAAAAAGTGTCAATAGCATCGAATTGAAATTACGTTCAAAAATTACGCAAATTCACTAGGACGTGTACGTTACGTAACAATTTTCAAAACTTCCATTAGAAACTTACTCTCGGCGAACCTATTCGAGATTTGTATACAAACTATTTGGCATAACGAACTTGTACACGCGGCGTAGAATTCGGCGAAGATTTGAATGCTCGGTCGGTAGATCCCTTTACAACTTTTGCCATCGAAAATCGACAAATATATAATACATTTAAGTGAATGTACTTACGAAATGTAACTCGCTTTAGAGCGTTAACGGACTTATTTTTACGAAACCATCGACAGATCCTGGTTTGTGCAACCAGAGTCGCGTCTAGTAAAGGAGATCCTGTGGGTCCTACAAGTGGACGTTTTCGTGGTCGTCTATACCAATTATTATTCGTGTCTACCTTCATCTTCTCACGAAATTAAGTTACGTATGTAGGTTTATGAACCGTTGCGACTTGAACCGTCTCGAGAGCACTCGGACAAATATTTATCACTGAAGGACGAGACGGGCAAAGTGTAAAAGCAGCGAATTCGGTTAACGGAAACACACAGGAAAACGCGATGAAACGAAATTATTACAAGTCTGGAGGTAGAATTAATTAAGATGTTATCCACGCGGCAGGGAAGATTGATATTCCTGGTAACGAATTATAACTCTGCTACAGGATTTTCTTAATAAATCGGAAACGCACGATAACTGTGTAAAATTATCCGGTGAATTCGATTCAACGATTCGCGTAATCTCGCACCGTGAAACGAAGTCGTTTTGAACCGCGTTAATTTTTCCCGATCGCGCTTACGTCCGCGTAACGTGCCTGAGAAATAAGATTCTTAAGTTTTCATAGATACTACACGTCGTACAGCACGATGCAAACTAAATACCGGTCGGTTTTTATACGGGCAGAGTTTCGGTACGATCCAATAGAATACGTCCCTTGGAATGTTATTGTCAACTTTATACTCGATTGGTTCTGTTTATGTGCACGATTAAACCTAATTTATAACTGAATTTTCCTTTGACCCAACGTGTATAAATTAAGATTTACAATAGAAATTTCCAATACCATCTACTTGTGTTATTATCTTATGTAATTTGAATCATGTTCCAATGATTATTCAGGAGGTACGTAGTTTACATTTTTCAGTTTAATGTAAAGAAGTGGAAGGAAATTGATTTTTTAAAGAAACGTAGGTATCTTCGCCAAGTTTTATTCTTCTTAGAAACATGTTGTTACACCGAAAAGACCAGACCATGAAACTGTTTGTCTTTCTAAGTAACAACAGTTTACATACATCATAAAACAATGGTTGTGATGAACTCCACTAAAGAAAATCTATGTCTACTGGTAAAATAAAAATAAATATAACATATGCACATTATTATCTCAAACAAAGAAGGTCCTAACAAAAATACATTTATTGCCGTCATACATGGGAATATTTCATTTTCTGTGTTTTGCTTTTGTAATGAACATAATTCATAATAAACCGAGTGCAGCAGTATGCTGTACGATAAACCTCGTGAAGGTATTAACAGGAGCGGGCAATACAGGTTACGTCAATGTGCAAAATGAAGCGGACTAAACGTAAGCCTCGGATGAACGTTGAAAAGGGAACAATGATTACGAATAGTGATTCGGGTGTATACGTAGGTATAATTGTAATGTTCTAAAGTAAACTGATGGGTCCCATACCTTCATCTTTAGGAGTTGGCAGTTGCTTGTCATTTGTCACAGAGTCCTGAGACATTCTTGCTCTTTAACACGTTTTATTCCTTGAGTAAAGTAAATTTCACAGCGCACACTATACAGACTTTTATATTTTTTTCCTAGATCTTTTATGTGATCTATCTACGTCTCATACGCCATACATACGTACATCTAATTGTAGAGTTTATATTCTAACTATATACCTTAGTACTGTTTAGTATCACAGACAGGTTTTCCTTTCTATATCTTTCAGTTAATATATCTTTAAAGCGAGGAAAAGAATCGCGATCGGGTGAGAACCGATCGTAACACGTCGATGGCTCGTTAAACAGTTCTAATTACCGATGGCCCCGGCCACTCTCACTTCGTTCAAAAGAGAAATGAAGAAAAAGTGTTTACGTGCTTAGAGCTTTACGGGTTTACGCACGGTAACACAGGAGGCGAACGAGAAAAAAAAACTTAATCGCGTGAGATTCGAAGCACGTGTTCTTCTCGAATATCATTTCATTAGATCGGCACGTCCTCCGACAATTAATTAGTTATCCATCGATTTATCACACAAAAATGTACACACACAACACTAGTTCACTGCTATGCAAAAATAGAAAATGGCGCACGATCCCCACTTCCGCCGTTGTTTCTCACTGCTTCCTTGATCCACAACGGAGAGCGTTCTAGGCATACAATATCTATACGTGCGAGCATTGCATTAAACGGGGCGCCATCTCTACCATCGTAAGGGTGCATCTCCAATATTTTTACAATACACACACGCACACAGTGACATGGTACACAGAGTAATCGTTTAAAAAAAGCTGTTCTCTATATTAAAGAACATGTCAATTTATTTCAGTTTCAAACTGGGTATTCGAAACTACACAACGACAACTTCTTGAATGAATAGTAATACAAATATTCGTGTACAGATTTAACTTTTATCTTCGCTGTATGTATACATTGTATACTATGTATATACATATATACAAACGGCAGCAGATAATAATTTACATTACATCCTCCGTTATTACAACTTATTCACAAGTCACAGCTATCGAAATAATGAGGGATGTATAACAAGTATATTTAAACACATATTTTTGTCAAACATTAAGAACTTTATTATATAAAAGCAAACATGAAGAAATAAAAAAAAAACAAATGTTACAAATTAGCGATTAATGGTAAATGTTTGTTGAACTGAAAATAATCAAATATTCTTGTTTGGCACTCTTCAAAATTTCAAGGAATCTATCTCCAAACTACTTGCTTTAAGAGAAACTTACAATCTGTTGGTTTAGTGTTACGAAAAACATTAGAAGTGTGTTAGTCTGAATGTAGTGTATGTCAATTTAATGGAAAGTATAATTATGTACAAATTGTTTTGTGAATCTCTTCCTACATCTAAACTTACGACATACACCAAGTTTTTAAACGTAATAAAAAAGTTGACAAACCTTCTTATATTATACTTTTCTAGTGTGACATTCCAATGTTAAAAATGACTTTAATCAAAGACGGAATGCTCGACACCCTACACTAGCCACTGTTTTTCTCCTGTCTAAAATATAAACTACCTTGAATGTAATGAAATTATTAAATATATTACGATGTGTGTCGCTTATAAAAATGTCCTGCGGAATCACATACTAACAAAAGAATTTTTTTATTCTCTGGTATGTGCAGTGCTTTGAAAAAAATAAATATGTATGTTCGTTCTTAGAACAGTAACGCGACCAAAATATATTACTGATGTTTTATGATTTATGGAATCTTCTCTTTCTATTTTTTTTTCTTTCCTTTTTTTGTTTCTATGGAGTAAACCCGGATATCCATAGACATTTTCGTCTTTATCAAATATATTAAAATATTAATGATATATAAAAATATAATAAGAAACGTATTAATTAAAAATAGAATATTCGTCGTTAATTTTCTGATTCGGGTGCACTTATTTCCTCAACTTCATTCGGATTCTTCTTGATATCTATACCTGTCTCATCAATTTTTGTATTACTTCCAATCACTTTGGTGGCATTAAGATCAGGTTTTCCAGCGTCATCTTCATCGGACGATTTTTGCATATCGTCATCGTTTAGCATGGCCCAAGGAACCTTTTTTTCCTCTTCCAATGCATCATCCGAAGACTTTTCTCCGTTTTCTTCTGCTGCTACTCCTTTCTTCTTTCGTGTCTTCTTTGCGGCAGCTGGCAGACCAGCGGATTCTTTAGCTTTACCACGCGGTTTGGAAACCTTCTTTGGTGCCGTTTCCTTCTTCTTCACAGTCCTCCCTTTCTTCGCTGTCGGAGCCAATGATTCGGGTTGATCATTCTCGACGTCTTGGTTTTGAATTTCTGCATCGTCACCATGTGTTTGCTCTGAAGAAGACGAGACATCTTTTCCATTTTCATCCTCATCTTTTGGTGCTTCCTCTGGACTAGCTTCATTTTTACGACCTCTCGTCGTTCTTGCTACTGGTGCTTTTTTTGGTTTATCACCATCGATAACCTTACTGTTTGTTTTGGACCTACTGCTAGTAGTCTTGGTCTTTTCTTCAGCATCAGTTTTCTTCTTTATCGCGTTTGTTTTGGGTTTAGTTTCTTTCTGGGTAGTATCAGCATGTGCTTGTTTCTTCTTCTTAGCAACCGGTGCTTCAGAATTTTCTACATTCTCAGTATTAGCTACTTTCTTTGCTCTGCTTTTTGATTTACCTTTGGCTGAAATTATTACAAGATTATTGTACATTAATTAACACATAACAAACACTGTTGTATCAAATGAACATTAGTTAATAAATAAAATTGTCAAAGAAAACAACATCTTGTTTTGAAAATCTCTATAAAAATTTAACTGAAATTTACATTTATAAAAAATGGCGGAAGTTTCTTCAGCGTCGTAAATTCGTTCAAATTCGAATAAGCAAATCAAATTAATTTAATAAGCAGCACTGCCACTATTCGTCTTTCTGTATTCGTATCTGCCGTGTTCGCAACAATATCGTTAAAAGTAGCAGAAAAATTTCGAAAACTTACGTTCTTCGATCGGCTCGCTTCCCGCCTTTTTCGCGGTAGCCTTCGTACGTGTCCTCTTCACTTCTGTCTCTTCGGAATTTTTCGCTGCATCCGCGTTATTATCGTCTTTCTCCTCTATCTCCTTACTCTTTTTCGTCACAGATTTGGCTTTCGAATTCACTTTCGTCGGCGCCGAAGCATCTTTGACGACCGCTTTATTTTTTGTTTTCGTGTTCTTAGTTACCGTCGAGGTCACCTCCGTCTCCTCTGTTTCTTCTGGCTTCGCCAATTTCGCAGCCCTCGGCAATCTCATCGGCTTCTCCTCCTCATTCGCTGTCTTCGCCACGGTTTTTTTCTTCTTTGGGGGCGAAACGTCGCCGGCTTCCGCCGCTTTATCCACGACCTCCGCGTCCAAATGTTTCGCAGCTTTACGGCGTGCCATCACGTTCTTCATGCCCTGAAGATTTTCTACGCAGCTCTCCAAGCGTGTTCCGTTGTTATACGTGTAGAAACAAAGTCCGAAAGCGACGAACCACGTTTGCTGCACGAGTCACGATTATATACTTACCGGTGTCCAACGTGCATTAAACGTGTCGGTTGCACTCTGGTTTGGTGTTCGCAAGTTACATGACTAACATAGTAGCAGATCGCCAGCTTCAGGTTTAGGATGGGTTTGATAATCGACAATCGATTTTTGGCTTGACTAATGGCGCCGGAATGCCAAGGAATAGGAAATCCAACGCTTCGCAATAGCTGTAACCCCGAATGAGACGCCGTTACACGACTTCCGAACTTTGAAATGAAGCAAACAATTTTTTTCAGAATTTCTTTTGTATCACTTAGGGATCGAGCCTAAGGCTCCGTATATAACTTGGACATTTTCGAATACCTTCCGTATAATATTTCTTCTAGGAATAATTGTTTATTTCATGTAATGTTGCATCGAGTAATTTTTATTTTCGTCCATGCATTTCTATGAACAATAATCGCAACTTTAACGGATTACTTGAATCGTATAATTATAATTATTACATTCGGGCAATCACCGCGCCGCCAGTTGCAAGTTGTTGAAAATATATATATCTTTTTGATTCATCTTTCGTTAATTAATTTTATATGCATAACTTTAGATTTATTTCGATAATAAACTTACTTTCATGGCAGAATAATAAATATGCATACCTAAATCTGTCAATTCTTTAATCACACACGCACCACCCCTAATAGTTTTATTAATGTTTTACTGAATCCTTGATTGTTAAAGTTGAGGAGATGATAATGAAAATTAATGACATGTTTATGGGACACGATATCGTCAATAAAAGTCGTAAAAATGCATTTTAATGATACGGGGAGATGAAGAAATCGCAGATTTCGAGTTTATAGAACTCGTACGATTCCTCTTGAATATTTCTATGGCTTTTATTATATTCAATGATATTTAAAGACAGAAAGACATACTTATTTATCTAGTTTATAATATAATTTTTATCATTTCGTTCAAACAACGATGTAACTGCAGAATGTAGCAGTCTAAATATAAGTAGATATTGTCTACTGGAACGACGTTCTTCGAAATACTCACTCTTGTCAAAGTTGAGATACACAAACAACACTTTGTTGTTAGTGCAATGAAAGCAAGCTTAAATTTTTAAGGTAATTTAAACACATTTGCTTTTTAATGTAATAATGTATGTTAAGTTGTGCGTACTACGATTCCTGCATTCTTGTAACGGTAAATGTTGAAAATATTATAACCTGTAGATTTTTGGATTGACGTTTCGTAGTCGAGTCGATAATTAAATATTTTATTTACTTTACCAGGTGTTGTCGAACAAAGAAAATAAGACTCAACAAATGTATCAACGATGAATAATGCGAAAAAGATCAACGTAAACTTTTCGTCTCTAGTGGGCTTGAAAGCAGAACTTTTAAAGAAGCAGCAGGAGGTGAACGAGGCGAAGTTAAAATCTGAGACGAATCACACTGTGCCACAGCTCCAAAAGAAGAAGCTAAAGAAAATTAGAAATGAGAAGAAAACGGAGAATTCGGATAAATCTGAATACATCGAGGACGTTGATACTCATAAGAAATCAAAATTGATGTTGGAAGCAAAGGCAAGATTATATCAGAAATTGAAGAAGTCTAAAACTACCAACGAGAATTTTCTCGTCGATTTTACAAACAAATCAGACGAATCTGAGGAGGAACCTTTACCAGAGGATGCGACTGATGAGATGTTGGAAAATGAAGATGATTGGGTAGAATATGAGGACTGTTTTGGTCGCACGAGAAGGTGTTTAAAAGAAGATTTGCCTTTCATGCAAGAAAAAGATCAATTGATAAAACATCAAATAATAAGTGAAAAAGGTATTGATCCAAAAACTAAAGACAATGTTGAACAGAGTTGTAAAGAGAAGGAGAAAGAAAGTGAAATAGAGATTATGAGGAGAAAATGGGAGGAGCAATCCAAGAAGTTGGCAGACAAAGTTAATATACATTATCAAGACGTCTTGTTTGACGAAGCGAGAACCCATGGTGTTGGTTACTATGCATTTTCAACGGACGAAGAGCAAAGAATGAAGCAGCAAGAGAATTTGTTTAATTTAAGGAAGGAGACAGAGAGAAAGCAGAGAGAGATACAGGAATTAAAGCAGTTGAAAGAAAAAATGGAACACAACAGGCTGAAGGCGGCCAGAATCCGACAACGTGTGAGAGCAGGATTACCTATAGACACAACAGAGGAAGAATTTAAGGAGAAGAACGATAATGAGTCTAATCAAAACATATCGGAAAATATGCCTGATGTAAGTCCAACAGAAAAAACTGTGCCTGACGTCAAGGAGGAACAAGAGGGTGATGAGAACAAAAATGTAGAAAAGGACGAGGAAGCAGAGAAAGAAAACAAAATAAAAGCTCTCGGAGAACTTTTAGGAAAGAGGACTCATTGGTATGAAATGTCTCAAGAGGAATGGGTCGACAAATGTAGGAAAACCAGGATTAATGAATTTGGGCCAATGTATGAGAATTTTAAGAGTGCTGGTTACTTGAACTCGGAGAACTCTCAGGGTAATCAGCCTGATTCAACTTCAAGTACTCGGAATGATGAGAAACTTGACTCACGTGATCACGTTGAAAATTGTAACGAAATGAGTATAGATTCTTATGATATACCTCTTCCGCCTGACTTTAACGTTCAACAGAATTTGACCGAAGGAAGCAGTGATCCTTCAGATACTGTTGAACATCGATTCAATGATGCGACCGATAGTCAAATAAAACCAAATAGAAACATAGACGAAGCGAGTATAGCAGCCGGGCTTAGGTATTTAAGGAAAAAATTTGAAGAAAGTCAAACTACTTGAAGCATTTGTATCATATTACGTTATTATGCTGGACACACTGTTGTAAATATACTGTACAATATCAATTCATTGTATAGAAAACATGTACGATATAAAGTATTGTAAGTATATTTCTTGTGCGTAATTAATTCAATTTTCTCTTCTCGATACTTGGATTCTCTTTATAGACTTATTCACTTGCATCTTCCATCTCCACATCGTTCAACATACCTGTACGTCATATTTTTATTCAAAGATATCAGGTTCATAGATAAAACTAGAGAAGAAAATGGGTCAAGTTGTAACATTACCAGAGAAATCCATGTCTTTGATGACTTTGTTACAGTTGGGACACTTTATAGGATTATGAACCATAGACAGTCTTTTTAAACAGTATAAATGCACAAGTTGGTCGCAGTTGTCACATCTCTTGCCCTGATGAACAAAATGATAGTTTAACTTGAGATGAATTACACGATTCGGTGTTTCGTTTTAAATAACATACATGAAAAACAACTTGCTTACAAAGGCAGCAGACACTTAAATTGTTTCCAAAATTAGCTCTGAAATATGGCATTAATTCTGTTATAGTTCTTACACCAAAATAGAAAAAGCCGTCCTATAAATGTCAAAAGAATGAAAATATAAATGAGACAACTGCATTCAAAAATTTTATCAATCCTATTAATAATACCTTCTGAATCAACCATTTTCTGTCAACTATATCCTCTAAGAATATTTCGGCATTTGTCGTTGATAATTTTACTTCTGGTATGGAGCATAAATTCAAACACTTAATACTTTCTATACATCCTGTTTCTGATCCCATAATTTCAGAAAATATATTTCGTACGAAAGCCAATTGTTCTTTGGAAAATTCTGTTTGAAATCTAAAAGAGCAGAGTCAAGAAGGATTCGATTCATCCGCGGTATATAGGTCGGTTTAAGAAGGAGAGTAATCATACGATTACGGTGATTTCTGAGACTAATAAATATTAGAAAAACATGATGTTAACGATAAATTAATAAACTTGTACCCACTTGGTTATATCGTCAAGTACGGTGCTTATGAAGACCCAGTATACCTGACCTGTAATTTCACACTGTGCTTTTTTTATCAGCATATCTACAGGCAACAGTTTCTCATTTATTTCATTTATTCTTTTCGATACATTATCATCATCTACAATACATACAAGTAAGTACAAGACGTGTACAGAAAGAATTGTACGAAAGTGAATAAGCCAACAGTTTACTCACTAAACAACCTAATACTCAAATCTTTCACTCTAGTTTCATGTAAAAGACCTTTGTGGATAATTGCTTGCAAAAGCGTTTTATGCCGATCATCGTAAACCATTTTTTACAGCTGCACAAGTATACCTTGCGTGTTTTTAATCTTATCTAAGTAATTACGCACGTTGTCTTGTTTTGATTTTATGTAAACTACGATTTCCAAGAGTTTGGCGCCATTCTAATACACGTATAGCGTAACAATTATATATACATGTACATGTATGTATTACATCTAAACTCGCAAATAAATCTTTGTACGACGCTAGCATATAAATCTATGCGACTTTGTAGAATCTTTATTCGAAATGCCTGGCGTTGTTGCAAGGATCGTTGAGCAACACGGCGTGAACGTGTATATATAAATCGACCACAGACGTGCATATAAATGTATATATGTATCGCAACCTTTGCCAATAAAGTATTTACAAATAATTTCGATTTCTTCGTACAGTGATTTCAAATTACGTAAGGAAATGCCGTATACATAAATCTTGCGAAATGATTATAAAGGAAAATGTTTGTGTCATCAATTTTTCTTGACATCTCACGGACTTTTCGAAAGGCTCGCAACACTTTAGAATTTCCTGTCCGCTACGAATCAAGAGCACTTCACTTAATATCCGATAATCATATTGATTGCATGATAATAATCTTGACGTTTTGCGGTTTTGCATGCGTATTGTATCATGAACGGGCGCTACGATCGAGCTATACGGTATTTAATATAGGTAGATATATATCGTGATCGGAAAGCGGCGTGTGGTGTGAGACGCCGAGAGTCGCGGATAGTGCAGCAGGTGCACCATGATCTGTCCGAATGTCGGTGCGCGCTTATCGGAAACAATAAGACGGAGCAACACCTGTTTCGTGCGATAAAGCGAGATCTAGGAGCTCCGAGGAGCGGTGCGGGTGGCATTCTGGCATTATCTGCTGCAATAACACTAGCGAGGGCGCGAGGCCGCGACCCTGAGCCCGATACGCTTTCATAAAACGTTTCGGTAGCGGTAACGAAATAGTGCGGCGGAACGGATACGTGTCAAACTCGGTCCACGGATAAGCGCCAAGTGGAGCATCGTAGTGCACGGCTATCTGCTATCGTTTACATTCGCGGAAAGGTCGAGAGTTCATGATCATTATTGCTGCTTTGAAACGATGATCTTACGAAGCGTTTGACGACGATCTTTTTTTTTTTCTCCTCTTTGCCTGATTATCACTGCCGAACGATCAAAAACTATACTAAACCCATAGTGGACGGGACGACGAATTTTTCAACTTTTCTCTTTCTCCTCTCTCTCTCTCTGTCTCTCTTCCTCTCACTCTCTCTCTCTTTCTCCCTTTCTCCCTTCTCCACGTATTTATCGGATTATTTGGCTGACGAACGGATAACCCATCCAGGATCGGCGTTAAGGAAGAATTTGAGACACTCGAAGATAGGGTTTTCGCGAGACCGTGCGTGATTTGTTGTTAATCGTGATAAATACTTGAATATAAAGATGCCACTATTCGGTAAGAAGGATTCGAACAAGAAGATCAAGAAGGACGGAAAAGATGATAAATCGCCGCTCGTCGAGGACAAGTATACCCTCAATAGATTACTTGGAACGTATGTACTATACATTGCTCAGGACTGCGTATCGAAAAGCAATAGAACACGTTTGCTGCGAAAATTCTTGCATGCATGTCTTTCGTATTGTCATCGAATTTCACAGAATCAGTCGACGAAATATCGTTTAATTAATGAAACGATCGGTTCCCGCTACGAACTTTGTTCAATTGCGTTTTCAACCTCTCCTCTTACGTCTTGTTACATCCAAAAGCTACCTATTGGCACGAATTTAATTATTCGCCTATAGATATCTCAGTTTTATACTCGCCCGTGTATTATTAACACGTTTAAATTAGAACTCGAATTACAATATGCACCATATAGATACTTGCGACAGTTTTTTATTTTTATTGACTGCTGTTTGTGCATAATTTTTTTATATTCTCAAGAATTTCTTTTATTTCAAATAATCCCCATCAATTTGATAACAAGTTGGAAACACTTCCTGTTATTGTACAATTAACTTTAAAGTGCATACAATCGACACACTCTCATTCCAGCTGCTTGAATCACCTGCGACTAAAAATAATACTATCGTATGCACAATGAAAATTCTATCATCTTGTTAAAACACTTGCATTAAACATGACAAAACTCATTTGTATGCAGTCTGTCATTGTACTAAAAGTCTGGGTAATAAATGTTCTTGTGCATCGTACGAGTTGTTAATAACTATAAATAAAGATGCAAGTCCTATCGCATTTACGTCAGAGTTACGATACACCAATTTTTATTAATTGATATCTCATGTGCTTATCACAGGGGTGCTTTCTCTGAAGTACGCCAGGCAGAAAGCAAAGACAAACCGGGTCAAATGTATGCCATCAAAATCATTGACAAGAAAGCGTTGAAAGGGAAGGAAGACTCGTTAGAAAATGAAATTAGAGTGCTGAGAAGGTAAACTTTTTCAACCATTCGTATCGAATTCGATTTACATTCGATGGAGCAGTAAAAATGACATTCTATTGTTCCCCAGGTTACAACATCCCAACATTGTTCAGTTACTGGAAACATTCGAGGACAAACACAAGGTGTACCTAGTTATGGAATTGTTAGTATCTTTAATCTCCGGGAAATGACTATATTATTAGAAAAACACGTTCAATATTCATTTTTGTTTCCATCAGGGTCACTGGTGGTGAACTGTTTGACAGAATTGTTCAGAAAGGTTCCTACACAGAGAAAGATGCATCGGGTTTGATAAAACAAGTTCTAGAAGCTGTGGACTATATGCACGACCAGGGTGTCGTGCATAGAGATCTCAAACCTGAAAATCTTTTATACTATAGTCCTGACGAAGACAGCAAGATCATGATAAGTGATTTCGGTCTGTCGAAAACGGAAGATTCTGGTATCATGGCAACTGCTTGTGGCACTCCAGGATACGTGGGTACGTTCGAATTTTACTAAGCTATCTACGCGTACTCGTGGATTGCACGTATTATTGTTGTTATTTGCATTTACAGCTCCAGAAGTCTTGGCACAGAAACCGTATGGGAAGGCTGTCGACGTGTGGAGCATAGGAGTCATCTCTTACATCTTGTTGTGCGGCTATCCACCATTTTACGACGAGAACGATGCGAACCTGTTTGCACAAATCTTGAAAGGTAATGAAATTACTCCGGGGTACTAATTTCTCTGGTGTTTGGAAGGATTATACCATCACTTCAATCTAGGTACTACTTTTAGGCTCGACATGCGGCTGTACATTAACTTGAAATTTTCATTTTTAAGGTACTATTCTAGTTTTTGTAAGCTGCTATATATACACGCTAGTGTAGTAAGTAAACAATCTATCGTGTGCGTCCGCATTCATTGTGAAAGTCTTGAATGTTGTTTATAAAAAATTATCGTTGAAAATAACATCGAGTCGTAATATCAAATCAGCATTCGGTAAAAAGTGATTCCAAGGGGGGTTCGGTCGTAAGAGAGGTACATTTGTCGTATAAAAGTCATGAATCAAACGGTACTTTTTCCAAATAAAACAATTCATTTAAACACATGAAATAAATTATAGAAAAATCGTCTACTCTATAGCAAGGAGCTAACCAGACTGTTGTAGGTGAATTTGAATTTGATGCGCCGTACTGGGACAACATCAGTGACTCGGCCAAGGATTTCATTCACAAGCTGATGTGCGTCAACGTCGAGGAACGCTATACGTGCAAGCAAGCCCTTGGTCACCCTTGGTAAGATCATTATTGCACTTTTGACGTGTCGAATCTGATTTATGTTCAACAATGAAATTTGAAGCGGAGTGATGTCCGTAACTTTTCAACTTTCCGGCAGTCGTATTTTTAGATTAGAGATAAGAGTATCGCAGGCAACTGAATTGCTTTTAGAAATAAAAGATTGATGTGGATCAAGTAAGTAGATGAATTGTTTTGTCATCCATTATATTAATTCTATTAAAATTGATCATTGTTTTCTGGTTCGTATCACGGTGAAAAGCTCATCTCAAGATTGAATGAAATAAAATTAACATGTTTGATCTAACCCGATAGATGTTAGATTGATCAAATGAATCATTGAATAGACAATCGTTACCAGCGTAGCATCGTTCGATCGATCCTTTTCATTTCCAGGATATCCGGCAACGCGGCTAGCAATATAGACATCCACGGTACTGTATCGGAACAACTTAAAAAGAATTTCGCCAAATCAAGGTGGAAGGTTAGTATTGTTGGACGATTTACAAGTGGCTGACTCGGTGTGTTTGCTCGCCAGGCTCCGTAGGAAAGTGTTCCTCTTCTCTCATGGTTGCAGCAAGCCTTCAACGCGACCGCGGTCGTACGGCAAATGCAACGACTGGCGTTCAACAGCAGCGGCCAGCAACAACAGGAGCAAGGAATGACAGGCCCCTCCAGCGGCAACCCCATGCCTTACCCCGATCAATCGCAATCCAACCCCACCAGTCACCAACAACCCAGACCAGTGGAGCCTCGAGCCAATTGAAGGAGACACGCGAGCCACCGGTGCCGGTCGCAAGCTTGGTGGCCTCGAATCCTCCAGCTCCCATTCCGATCACTACTCCGACAAACTCACCGTTATATTTGCGCAACAAACGCTTCAAGCTGTGGGGTAGCATACAAATCGCACTGTCTACTCTGTTTCGAAAGAACGTATCGTACCTTAGAAAAAAGCAGAGAAAACACAAGAGAAGCTAAGCCACACGCTGCTAAACTTTCTTCTATCAAGGGATATAAACTATCCTCTTGCCAAAATATTATCCGTATTCACGCGGCAAGAGTTTGTATAGATTCCAGCTAATCTGCTTGATTGTGGTATCCTACGACACGATTTCCACCGATTATGTACATTACAGAAACTATATACATGCGTGTATCCGAGTATAAAGAGCCCGCGCGATATAAGGCGTTTCTCATTTTATCGCCCTCGTTGCCAATTTTGTTTCCGTTAAAAAAATGTTCCCGTTACCTTGTTTGCAATAGAATCCAGCCTACTAGCCTAGTACCAGAATAGGTACACGTGTTGAACGATGATGGCATGCCGACGGCACCGATTCGATTGAACATAGACGTAGCTGATACATTTAGGTAAACTTGGCGCATACTATGTAAAATATCATGACACTGGAGAATAGAAAATCTTGCTGGATCAAGTTTACTAAACGTGTAAAAAGAAACGAGGCAAACAGTACAACGACAAATTTTTATCTTTTTATAAAGTTTGGTGTAACGAATAGTGCTACGTAGATGATTTTTTGCGACGCGAAAATCTGATTCCATTCTGATGACACATGCTTTAAATTCCATACACACAGCTTTTCGCCCGGTACTTTTTTTCCAATGAGAGATACGATTGGAGTGGTAATGTCCTCTAAAGTAGCGTTTTAAGAAACAAAAGACAAACTTTTAGTGAGCTTTTCGTAAGACGAGGAGAAGAAAATCTTGCCATACGGAAGCGTGTTGTGAGACTGTGTAGGATCTGATTTTTAACTATATCTGTTTTTATGTTTTACCGACGATTATAGCAATGTATCTTGATTCATGACACCGATGTATAGCGAGCGCATTGTATTGCAAAAAATATGTATGTACAATTTTGCGTGCACCCTTTTGTTGCACAGCGGTATTAGTACACTTTAGAGATTTTTAAACCGGCTATTCATCAGCAACTAGACTTAATGTGTGTATACATACGTGTAAATTGCTCTACCGATCTTTTATCCGTACGTTGAACCGAAATTCGATGGAAAAATGTACATAATTCTCTTAAGTCTCTCTGCAAGATGCAAATATAAAAAGCAAGTTATACAGAGTCGGTTTTGCAATTTTTTTATAATGTTTTTTATAAGAGCAACTACATGTATATTTTTGTACAGTTTGTAATTTCTTTCGGTCTAATACCTCTTTTAATCATTTTGCCTCGCCCTAGGCATTCTAGTTTTGTTTTCAATCGTAGAATGAGATTGGCTCGTCTTGTTGAAGAAAAGTGTAGAAAGCGATATATTTCAACTCGTTGTTAGGAATCAGTGATCTTTATTCCTCTATATACGTTGCACAACAATGTGCATATTATTTATGTATGTTACGTTCTCTTAATATAAACCTAGACGTAAGTATATGTATAACGTCGTTGCGTTGTGGTCAACTCGATACAAATATTTTTGTATTTAACATTTTGTTCTAGATCACGGCGATAATGTATCATTGTACAAGTTCCAAGAAAAAGGTTGAAATATAATCTAGCTATTTATATTTGTATCTCATTATACACGGTCGCGTGCAGTACATGCACAGTGTTTAAATTACAACAAGTACTTGACGAAATGTCACGAGAATGCTTTTAGTACTTGACGAAATGTTACGAGAATGCTTTTAGTACTTGGTGTTGTTACTTTATTTTTTTACAAGTGATTGCAGGTAAAATGCAATAATATCGTAAACTTGTGATAACGACGTGGTCTTTTACTCAATGATAAATCGATATAAAAGATGATTAATGACAAAGTATGCTGCGAATATGATATGTAAAATCCTCTCTCAAACGAAATGTATGTACATTGAGTAATGATTTCAGAGTTTGATTTCAGTGCTTCGGGACGTTTCAACTCTTGTTATTACATACAAACCGAAGAGAACAAAATCCATTACCTATTAATATATATACGCGAAAGAATTGTATCGAAAGAATTTCAATGTTGTCCCTTTTAAAACGCGGTTTCGATCAAATAAATCTAAATTGTATTAATACAATCCAAAGTACTCGAATAGAAGATTAATGTTAATTATTGCTGTTTATCGAGCGGGCACTCCTTTTATCATAAAAATACTCTTTTCTCTTAAACTTGAACTATAAACATGATAATATCACTTTAAAGTATCATATTAGACATCCGTCCGTGTACCGGGCACGTGTAGTTGATGCCATATGAAGAAAATTAAGGTACTCGTATATTAACGCTACATTTTGGAAATCGATAATAATTGAATATCAAGTATAAGGCAAATGTTATACTCTATAAAATTTATGATAAAATATCAGATGTAACAATTATCATTTATTGCTCTTGTCGAAATTACTGTTGGTACGAGAGTTTCAATCGTTGAAAGATTACCGATGACACGATGATGTACATAAAAATTGCAGAATGTTGGACACCTCGTTCGGAAATGAAAGTTCAACTCGTCGCTGTTCTGTTTCCTGTTTAATTGAAGAAAGTTCACCGTCGTTACTCGACTACACGCAACATCGTGTCATCTGATCAGGAATGGTTTGTTGTACAAAGTAAGCGTATTTTTTTTATGCCGTTACTTGACGAGCTTGTAATTTAAAGTTTTAGAGTGAAACTATAAGCAGAGCTTAGCTTGTATTTTAGAAATGAAACAAAGAGTATAAAACGCGAAAAAACTGTGCCACACGAATAAACATATCGGCAGGAACATTGCAAAATGTGATTGTAAAATTAAGCTGATTTTAAAATAGCAATGAACTTGTTACCACAGTTTTATTCCATCGTGACAATTGAAACTACATGTATTTACGCGCCCAGACTGACGACAGTGTGCATGAAGCGAAAGCGAAATAGCGAGAGTGAAACAGAGAGCAAGGCGGGAAGAATGCATCGTTGATTAAAAATATATTGCCTATAAATTGAGCGTGACTGAACGCTCCTATATTTGTCAAAGGACTTGTTTCTATTGTAAAACTTTCTCGTTGCACAAGCGGTACTTGAGAACTTGTGCACGCGGGGACGATTATACTGTATCAGATGTCTCGTCGTTATTGTTAAATTATACAAAGAATCAACGCTGTTGAGAAAAATAATCACGCAACTTTACGCAAATGATATCTTAATAATCCGGTATATATGTACAGTGCCAATAATTGCGCGTTTCTTAAAACTTGTCGAAAATGCTGATTTGTTCTTTGAAACTTTTGTAAATTCCTTGTAATTTATATTTTCGACACGTCAAATTCTTGGTATATCGAGGATTACTAAAGAGTGGCAGTCTTATTGGTGTCGGCATTGGTAACTTTTGACGCCCTTTAAGATATGTTGCCATTGCCACCGAAATAAGAAGCAAGAAGTAGTATCTCCTTACACCTCGGTGATGTATTGCTTGGCAAGAAAAAGAAAAAGTAAAGTTGATTTTACTCAAAAACTGGCTCGCATAAATTAAAAGTGGACATTAATGATGTATTGGCTGGTCAATCCCCAAAGTTTATGTACCTTAGAAAAACGCATTTCCTATAATTAAAAAGAAATCAGACGTCGGAAGAATAATGCTAATAATAAATAGCTACGTGCTAAAAAGTATAGAAGAAAATATCCAATTAATTATTGACGTATATACAAAAATTGTAGCTATTGACGTGCTCTACACGAAAGATTCTATGTATTTTTCTTCTAATTTGAGTATTTAACGAGTTAAGTATGATTATTT